AAAGTTGTCCTCAGAACAACAATACGTTGGAATGTGGAACGATATAATCTAACAACACGGGTACGGGAAAGTTTTAAGTGCTAAAAGTCTAAGAAGTTAATGTGTTGACTGTTGAATGAATTTAGAAATGTAAAAGTTGTTATTTGATTTGAAATGTCACTTCTTAGAGTTATTGATACCACTTCTCGTATGAGCCTAGTGGCTAAGCGTATTCTAAGCTAAAGTCTGATGTCCTGAATTTAAACCTGAGTATACAGAATTATATAGATTTTTCTATCTATACTCGCAACTAATACTTTCTACTTGAAACTCTGTCAAGAGTCTTTAAAGTACTTGCCCGTAAAGTACTTTAAGGGTTTATCAGGTAAACAAATACCTGCAGATTTAAGCCTAATTCACGTTTTTAAATAATCTAAGTAGCTCTGTACGATAGAAATTTTATTCCAAATGTAACTAAAAACAACAAGAGAGCTATAACGTAGTTAGCAGAGTGATAAGCTTGGGCTAATCTCGTTCCTTACAGTTTTCTATTAGGCGGGTGAGGCCGGCCGAAAAATCGTTTTTCTGTTAGTCTACCAGGATGCTCCTTTCCCTCGGTAAAATACTATGCGTTCGAACCCGACAGCGATTAATTTGCTAACATATCCTTGCCCCATTACGCCGGAACACCACCTACCATTTTCGGTTCGTGTGTCAAATCAAAATTGACAATTGTCATCATTCTTTAACTGACACCGATTTAGCGCGACCAGTATCAAAAAACATATAATATTTTAGATGACGAATGTACTTATTTAAATAGAACAATAACTAAATACGAAAAACAATTAATTATTCAAATGTTTATTTTCATAGTCTAGGATAATAATAATAAACTGGTTTCATTCAAGCAATAGACAGGCTTTGCAGATCTTTAATTATTTATATAAGATCATTCCTCACAAAGCGTGTTTATAAAATGTGCCAGAAATTCTATGAAGATGTTAAGGAGGGGGGGGGGGGGGGGGGGGGGGGGAAAAAAAAAAAAAAAAAAAAAAAAAAAAAAAAAAAAAAAAAAAAAAAAAAAAAAAAAAAAAAGTATGACAAGTAGTTCTGAATAAATAGGCTCATAATATTTAGACTAAAGCAATGCTATATAACACACCTCCCTATTACACGTATAACCAATATTCATGTCTGATAAGGTAGATAACTTGATAGCACATAGATGTACGCGGCATACAAATGCCTCCGAAACCTGACTTTTACGAAGATATCACGTTCGCTACCTACCTCTAATTAATAAAGGAGACCCCTAGTACAGTAGAATTTGCCGATCGTGAATTTCATTATAGGATAGATAACATCAAAGCAACTTAGTTACACAATAGTTTAGAATAATCATTTGGAAATTGTGCACCTTCTAGTACAATTTGTGATATACAATTTTGGTACGAGCCTTGCACGAGTACTCTGCAACTTCTAATAGTGATAATTATTGCGATCCCGACGTTTTTGCAATGCAATATAGTTCTCGCAATATCCTTAAAAGCTATCGTAATTAGCAGTTAGGAGAACCGGCGCTGGTATTTCGATTTTCAATTATTTATAGTTTTGATAACTAAACCACTCGGTAACGAAAAGCGTGCTCCGAGCGTAGGATTGATCACTTTATGACGTGGCCCGCTAAAAATTGCCATATAATTGAATCAACGTTTAATGTTTCAATCTGCGTTTTTTTTCTACAAATCGTTGAAGCTTTATATCCTATATAATAAAAAAAGGGTGCGTGTACTTATGTACGCGCGTAAGAAGTTATACTTCTTTGGCATTATTAAAAATAGTTTTTGATTGCATGCAAATAATTAATTACAATTAAATAATCAAAGACTGGAAAAGGAGTCATTTAACATTTTTATTTCATTATACTATTTATTTTTAAGTGACTCTAATGTCTTCATCAGAATTTCGGTTTGTAATTTTAAATTAATCATTACTTGGTTGTGCATCTACGAGGCTTCTCCAAAACTACTCTGCAACAAATAAGAGAATATTAATTTAAGCTCTGTCCATGCAAAACTTAAAATTTTTTATAATTCATATTATAAATTTTTAACACATTTATATTAATATAATTATATAAATGTGTTAATAATATAATTTGTAGCACATGCTACAGACCTGGATAGCAACTTTCTTTTATTCTATTTAGAGATAGAGATAATTTAAATATAATACCGGTGTCTTCCTTGTAGGTTTCTTTGGAGTTGTTTGGGGATTCTTGTTGTTCAGTTCGACATGATTTTCTTTAACCTTTCTTTAATCCTACAAAATAATGAAATTGTTAATGTAAATGTTGTCACTGTTGTGCACACCTTTGTTTGGCTTTTTTAGTATTCAAGTTATGTCAAAACTGATTTATTACCTTGTCATTGTTGGCTTTATTTGCTTTTGGGATATCAATTGTTTCCAAAATGATTTTATTTGTAATAACCTGAAATATATAAATAACATCTATTAATTTAAGTATCATGGTGAGTGGTTCGCACTCAGGTATTAAGGTGTATTATACCCACTGTCCATTATAAGTGGGAATGGGCTCACTTCTGGCAGGACAGAGTTTCGGTACTACAAGTGCAACATGGATGTTTTGAGGTATTACAATATCTCTAACTACCCTGTAGGGGAATAAAGTAATGTTGTAAGCATATGCCTATGCTTGAAAGGTTGAACCTTGAACATCACCATACATCATATTTATAATTAACATTCCTACCTCGACACCATCACAATCAAATTCATTGAAATCTACTTCAAACCATTGTGTCTCGAGAAGGTGATGGTGGCTTTGTTCCACCTCCAGTTTTTGATGTTTCACGGCGATAAGATGACAACTCTTTTTTTGTATTCAATTTAGTGCACTTCCACTGATTCATCAATTGTTTTTTGTCTCTTGTCCTTATATTTGCTAGATTAAATCTGATGTTTTGATTAAATAATGTGGTCATTTTTTTGAGATGCAGGTACTTATTAAAATGTTTACTTCTCTGTTATATCGCTCCAAGCCTTCATTTTCTCCTTATTAGTATTCGTGCTTAAATCTTTGTTCTCAATTATTGATATATAGGGTCGTAGAATATTTCTAAAAAGTTGCTGTAACAAACGCAATAAACAAAAGCAATGAATAATGGTTCATGTTTCAGTTTTAATCAACAATAATACTCGATAATACATACGGATAGTTAACCTCAATTGTATTGAAGCACTCAGGAAGGTTAGCACAGTTTTTTCACAAATATTTTATATTATTTCACAAATATTTTGTATAATGAAAATAACTAGGTATATAATTATTAATTTTAAACAATAATTAAAACTCCTATATTTGTTTAAAAGGTAAATGTCATTGTCAGATGTCAATTGTCATGGTCATTCAAAATTCTTGTTAAGCTGCTAAGCTAGAATATGCGTGAAGTCAGCTTCACGCAATATCTATTTCTTTACTGTGTAGTTTGTCTTATTCCCATCTCGCTCGCGCACGCTATCAATCACACTGCCAATTTTGTGTCATAGGTGCGCGCGCAATCGTAAAATTTCACTCTCATCAATTTTTCATAACGCGCCTAAAGAAGTACAACTTCAATAATTTAAATAAGTCTATAGTTTGTTTAATCAGATCTGTCGTGGTATAACAAATTATCTATATAATGAAAATATTATGACAGATTCTGTAGTTATCCATTAACATCGTCATTAATTGGTAATCCAAAATATTACATTGACTGTAATTTCGCGTTGTTTATTGCAATATTAAAAAGCGTTCAGATTCAAAATGTAAATCTCAACGGACCTGATCAGCGCAAGCAAAAAGTTAATGAGGTAAAAAGCTTAATAAGATATTCCAAATGCGATCAGAGTAAGGTGATTTCATTTTATTGTTATTGGTATATAAAAGCCACGTTATCTGTAGCTGTAATCTAAATGCAACTCCGACTTTCTAAAATGCATTTGTAATTGTGTTACGTAAGGGAGCGTTCAAGTATTACGTAACGGAATTTTGGGAGGGGGGGGCTCCTTTGTAAAACGTTACGATGCGGGGCGGGGATTGAATTACGCGTTATTTTTATTATTATTTTAGACTTTCCAGTACTTTACACCACATAATGGTGTAACTTTTAGGTAAAGAGTCACTGGGTGGTCACGAAACGTTTTATTATTAGGTCTAGAAAAACATTACGTCGCGTTAAACGGGGGATGTCAATAATCTCCAAAAATTGCGTGACGTAATACTTGAACGCTCCCTAAGGTACTGAAAAGTTAACATGAGAGTGCGCGCCGTTTGCTAAAAAAACACCCTCAATTTAGCCTCCACGAAGCTTGGTGTACTCAGCAATGCAAGACGGTACTTCACTCCGGGCCAGCACTTGCAACTGCGCAAATTTGGCCCCACAGAGATTACTGTTCCCACTTCTGAGAGGGCGCCCCAGTACCAGCCCCGTGAGCCTATTTAAGAAGATCGGTTCGAATCGTCGACGACCAATCGCGCGGCTTGATCTAACTACTAATTGACAGCGCGCTCTTCCTCTTTCAAGTTTTTATTGTTCACTAAAGTAATGTACTCAGTTACTCTGTGTTATTATTTTATTTATTTAAATACTTGGTTGCCCCAATATTTCGAAATGAAACTAATTTGTAAAATAATTATGATCCTTAAATTTATCGTCCGGAAAAATTATTATACTTTTATCAAAAGCTATTTAAAAAGCTTCAAGTATATACTGCTTTCCAACCCAGTTTTTGTTCCATCCCCGCCGACCAAAACTTTAAGTCAAGCAAAACACTGACACAAATTCTTTACGCTAGGCAGTACCCGCTTACGTAATATAGAACGATATGAAAATTACATTAGCTCCGGGTTGGTCACGTGACCACTCCTAAAGAAGCGTTAATGGGTCACGCCAATATATTTGTCTACGGGCATTCAATAAACAAATAAGTAAAAATAAAACACAGATCAAAAATCACATATCCTTTAATGCTTTAACAATACATATACTATACAACAGACTGTTTTGCAAACGAGACCATGACGCCGCGTTCGCCTCCTCCACAGCCTGCAATGCACTTTTTAACTCCGCATTCTGCGATATAATTTTCGTGTGCATTTTCAAAAACAGACCCAAATAGGCCTGCGCCAATTCAAAATCTTTATTACTCTTAATCATACTATTGAGTAACAGAACAAACTGTTTCATAACATCAAAAGACCCTCCCACATCCGGCGCCATATTTGACACTTCCGCTTCGATAGCAGCTGGCGACATCTCTTTTAACTTCATGATACAAACTTCAAAATCATCTTCACTTTCGCAGGCATCTAATTTCTTTGCAAATGGCGTTAAAGTTGATAACGAATCCGGTATAAGGAGTTTGGTATTCTCGTCTTTTCCGATATCAAATGCCATTTCTAAACTAGGTATAGTTGGAAGGAAGAACGGTGCTGATTTTGGCACTTGTACCACTTTCGCTTTATTTCTCTTCTTAACAATATCTAAGTTGAGTAAGTTAAGCCAGCGCGATGTTGATTGACCCGAAAGGGTTAAGAGTTCTTCGCTGATTTGTTCCGGCGACTTATATTCGGGCTCGCCTAAGTCTATTGTTCCTAAATCTTCTAGGTCTGGCTTTTCAGACACCGTCGTTGGTAATTCTAAAAAATAATATTTCATTATAAACCTATTGTCGAGGTAATACAAAATTGTATTGACATATTTGTATCTTATGTACTAATTTGCACACGGTTTTGGCTACCAAAAAATATATCCAGAAAACATCTTAAAAGTTGTATTAAACTAGGCCCACTGCATTTTTTAATTTTATTATGTAACTAAAAATAAATTTGATAGATCATTTCTATACATCGGTAGTGGTTTTTAAATAATATATAAGAAGAAATACTGCTTTTTATAAAACTTGGTTAAGTGTTTTGGGTACCCCATTTATGTTTACCCTGGCAAATACATTTCACCTGTTTAATTGATATGTTTAAGCAGTTTGTGGGTACAATCCCGATAAAATATTGTTTCGTTGGAAATCGATCCTAGGAGCACCAGGTCTACCTGTACGGTTATCTTATTTATACTATTTAAATCTGGAATGAAACTAAAAAGAAACTTACTCAGTTTAGGTACAATAGCAGCCTTCCTATCAACCGGTTTGAGGAAAATCCTCTCGTATAATAGTTTATTGGCCCAAAGAAAAACGCCTAATTCTCCCACGTGACTGGTCGCCAAGTAATCATTCGTCGGGGACATGCTTAAAGATGTACACGGCTCTTCTACCTATAAATAATTAGTTACTTTAAATATATAATAGTAGTTAAATATATTCCAAAAACAGTTTTATACATTATCTGATCTCATAAATTGAACGGTAAAAATAAAAGGTGATTGACGAGTGGTGCAAAAGATAGCGTTAATCATAATTGTAGACCACAGATCAGAAAAAAATTTTGTTTACGGCGTAGCTCGTAGCAAAACATAATCTAGACCCAAAATATTTACAGAAAAGATAATAATGAAAACTGATACTGAACTGATACCGTGGAAGTTACGTGAAGAAATTATTTTTTTAAATATTATGTGTATAGGCAATTATAGAATTTCTTTCACCTTTAAAATTCTAACAAGATCACATTACAATTGTAAGAAATTATTCTATAAAGGCTTTTATAACTTTAATCATAGATAAGACTTTCTAAAAAATAAGAGTAGATTCTATAGATAATAATTTAATATTAGATGATGAATAGGATGTCTCATGTCGCAAATTTTAAATATTATGGCAAAATTGGGCTGACACTAAGTTCGGATGTGAAATTTAACCTTGAACACCGATATAGTTCTGCTATTAGACAACATAACATATAATCTATAAGTAAAAAAACAACTTGCAATTCAGAGCTTTCCTTCCTTCCTATTTTTGAACTAATTTTTCTCAGTAAATAATGAAGGTAAAAATGCGTAAATTGAACTAAAGGTATCTTCAGTGAAACTATCGGAAAAGATACAAAAAAAAATGCCCTTTTTCCCCAACTCTAAAACCCAATCAGCATGTATTTTTTTTTATTGAAGTCAAATTGTCATTGCAAAAAGCAATAATAACTTTACATGATGACTAATACTCACTGAAAATATATCCACTAACTGTGCACTGGGAATATCCCAAGTGCAAATTGTACAGTCCATTGATGTACTTATAAGCCATCTGGAAAATATATAAATGATAAGAATCAGATGCCATCAGACACATTTGTGTATTTGATCTTTTTAAGTATAAAATATTTTTTCACAGAATCAAAATGTTCATACATAAACAAACATGCAAATAAAAAAGATAGAACTTTTTACATATTTTTAGGGAATACATAACCAAACTGCTAATATTTTATAAGTAGCATTTAAAGTTTAAATTTAAAATTTGTTAAATGTAAATAAATATTAATTAAAACTAAATTTTAAAATGAAAACAAGAGAGTATATCTATTAATTATATGTACAATATTAAAATAAAATACCTGCTCTGAGAATCAAAATCAATATCATTTATTTTTCCAGTATGACCCTCAAATGTTCTGACAATATTCATAGTATCAATATCTACAAGAGTTATTGTAAAGTCTTCATGTGCTAACGCCAGTAAACCACTTTCCCTGTGGCATTTTGTCATTGCTACAGCACTATCCAATCTCATGACATGGTATGGATTTGTCTCTAAAGAATATTAAATGTTATAAAATAAATATTTAATAAACCTGTAATAAATTCCTCAAAAATAAAAGAACAATATTATATATAAGCTGCCTATAACCAAATAGGAGTTTGATACCTGGTGAAACAACAAGTGTTTGAAAATGAAAGACGTGTAACACATTCAACATGGAATAACATCCATAATCAAATAATGAAAAAGGTATGGTCTAAACTCTAAAAGAATGAACTAAAAAATAAATGTTGTGGCTGCCAATATGATTGACTACTGATTTGTAATATTTCATACTTCAAAAAATACATGTAAAAAGATGGAAGGATGTATTTAATTTATAATACTACAAAATGTAATTATTTTATTTTATCTCACACACTGTTTTATTGTGTTTTTTTATATTATTTTTATTACTCTTTAATGTACAATACTCTACGGTTTCGATATTTGTAAATATGTGATGTTCCTTAGTAGTTTTATTCTAAGAGTACATTGTCTTCACATATAATTATTTAACTAATGTAAACAAAATATTGTAAGCCTATTTTAAAAGAGTAAGTGTGGAGTTTCTTGCCCATTCTTCTCCATACGAAACTACCTTTTGGAAGGGGCAACTAGAAATTTCTTTATATTTTATTTGACGTTCAAAGGTGCCATTTTTAGTGGTCTAATTGAAATAAATGATTTGACTTTGACTTTAAATTTGTATAGAATTAGAAAATACAAACCAGACTTAAAACGCCAAAACTTCAATTTCTCATCAGCTCCAACTGTCATTGTTCTCTGATTGCAAAGATCCGTCTCCACACCTCTCACAGCACCCTTGTGTGCCTGTAACTTATCATTTCCATAGTGGCCTCTGTACAATCCTGATTGCATATTAAATTTGTGTACTTGACCATTGCTGTAACCTGAAATTGTGTATGTTTATCATATAAGAAATGCCCAGAAAATTCTGTGCTTCTGGAAGCAGTTTGGTTCGACCTAGTTCTGCAAGGAAAATTTAATACGGACCTAAAGTTTAATGATTATCGTTGAACTTAAATTGTCCTATTAAATAAGAATTAACACAAAGGTTTTTATGAAACTAGAGATCCACAAACCATAACAGGTATATAAAAAGTAGTAAACTATTCAAGGAAAAAGTATGTGGACATTTTTTTAGGATCCCATAAATTGTGCTTAGTAACTTGGTACTTTCAAACCGCCACCTGTAGAATTCTGAAAGTAAAATTAAATTACAGGAGAAATGTAAGCTATCTTAATTTTAACGTTGATCGTAAGAACGTTAATATTGCTCTGAAATTATTAAGTTAAGAGTCATTACGGACAACAAAGGTGACACGTATTTTATAAGTAAGATTAACAGATGTTTATAATAATAATGCATTTAAAGTTTTACCCTCTACTATGATTTAATCTTTGAAACTTGTTTTAAATCAGTAAAAGAAAAATTTTTCTATTAAATTAGATTATAAAGAGACACTTTTGTAACAATTCTGGATTTTAAAACGGATAGAACTTACCTATTAAAGCAAAGTTTCCACAATGTGTGACTGTAATACATGTAGCTTTAACCTTTTTCTCAAAGACTGGAGGTTTTAACTTATGTTTGCCCATACAAAGTTTGTTGTATGACCATGTTGTTGCCGTTTTCATATGTTGATGCAAGGAAGCAATACTGTCCCACTGTTTATCTCTCTGCATACAGGAACTCAAATGTGATATTGGCTCTATTATATTTGTGTCTTTTTGGAGTCTTTCTGTAAGTAACAAAACATTAAATTATTATGTTTTTTCAATCAAGATCAGTTTCACTATACTTATTGCTTTTGCCATAATATGTTGAAATGGATTTGTTGAAGAATATTGGCCATAATGATTATTATGTTGTGCAATTCGACAGTATGAAAAATAAAGTGTAATTGAGAGTAACCTATATAAAACATAGAGTACAATAATCATTTAATTATAAAAAAATCTATAACATTTGAATATGACACAATGTTTACGGATACATCAAATTGATGAAATGGTACCATGCCTCTAAATATAAGAGCATTTTGCCTCGAGAAAAGTTTTGGCAAGTTCTTGAAATTTTGAGATAACAGTTTGTGTATGTCCAATAGACACTTATAAATAATCTTAAGTGGATTTTAAAATCAATAGGCAAATAGCACATTATATATCAATCAGTCATCAATAATACTCAACAAACCACCTTCATTGATTAGTCCCAATACAAAACTGGTATGGATGGTAGAAATATTCAGACATTAATTATTTTGTTGGATGACTAAGAATGTGGTTTATATTTACAAAATATTATCAGCTAGATAAGCTGGCCATCACTTACTTTTTTTCTTTGAATTGTTTCTATTTATGGAGGCCTTTCCCAAACTTTTGTTAAATGTTTCAGTAACTGTGTTCATTATGTGCAATGAACTGTCTCCTCCAGCAGCCAAAATATTTTCCCCGGTGGGTTCACAATATCTTACTAAATGAGGTGGTTTTGCATGTCCTTCTCTGTAAGATACAAGTATGCAAACATATTTTTTTAAGCTTTGTTAATATAAATTGTACTTGTATTGTAAAAATTAGAAGTAACAAAAACATAGTATTTTGTTAGTATTCACATTATATATTTACACTGATAATATAAGCATACCTCTTCTTTAAAAGTCTGGCTCCTCCATCAGGCATATCGAATATCCACATTTTCAGTGAATTGTCCCTAGAATTAGTAATCATGAGTGGTTCAGACATTAAACACTGTAAGCCAGCAATTTTTGCTGAGTGTGCTTGTTGTATTTGTGATATAACAACTTTTTCTTCTAAATCCCATGTTACAATGTGTCCATTATCACTACCAGTTACCATTACAGGTACTCCATCCATTCTAAATGAAAGAGCGCTTACTCTACCCCAATCATTAACAAATTCCATTACTACTTCATCATACTTTATATTGTGTAAATATATCTTTCCATTTTCTAGAGCAATGGCTACAACATCAACTGCTGGAGCAGGCTCAGTAACCGTTACAGCAGAATTCCACCGGTTAAAAGTATAAACAAGTTTTGATGTTCGAATGTTCCATAACTGAAGTGTGCCTTTTTTACTTCCAAGTAATATTTTATTTAGGTAAGTGGGAGGGTGACAAATTGTTGATATTTTAAATGATTTTTCAAATTTCAATTCCAAAAACTCTGTCTCTTCCTTAATATCAAATATTTTTAGAATATTATTTTTATCTATGGATATTAAATGAATTCCAAAAGGTAGCAATTTATGAACAGCAGCTTCGTGGCCTCTGTAAACATGTTTTAGTTCACATCCTCGTCGCCACGCGTAAATATTATTTTCACTGGCTGTGTAAATATGAAAACCATCTCCAGCCATGCAAGTTATAGGTCCTGGATGTTCGCCACTTACGCTTAACAGACGAAATTTATCGCAACCATATGTATGAAACCATTTTCCAACGCTGGTGCAAAGCAAAGTTTCACCTCGTCTTTTTATAAATCTAGCAACAAAAGGTACATGTGTACTAACATAACCTAGTACCCGTGCGCCGGTAAATATTTGACTGGTGGATTTATCTTCCGTCATTTTTGTAAAATTTCTAAATAAGCATGTTACACTGGCACGCAATCACAGGTTTCTTTGAACGTTAAAAAATTTGTTATAAAAATAATAAACACATGACCCAAGGCAAAATATGAAAACATGGAAATTGGAAACTGCTAGCAGTAGCAAGTGGCATGGGCAATGTTTTCAAATGGTATGTCACTGTCATTATGACAGACCTAATATATACATGTCAGTTTGACAACTCGAACTTGTTCTTAGAATAGTCTGTGTTCTATGTGACTGTTTAATGTTTATACTTTATTATGTGCTGTGAGTTTAGTTACAACTTACACATTAGGTTATTTCTATTATCTAAATAAAATCCGCATTTTAACAGTTTATTGCATTTTATGATATAAATAAATAGATTTTCTATTATGGAAACTATTTTAGAACAACAAAGAAGCTATCATGAGGAAAGAGAACGGACTATGGATGCTATGGTTAAAGAGATTTTGCAGAAAAAGACAGGAGTAAGTTATATTTGGTGTTTTGTTTATATCTCCTTTTATTTAATAAAAAATATGAACTAAAATTTAAGATAAAATTATAAACTTTATTTTTTTAGCATCGAGAAACTATCAATGCAGATCATCGACTGAAGAATTTACATGATGCAAGTATTTTTCCATAGTTTGTGTTTTTGTGTTTAACATAATAATTCAATCCTATGTATTTAAACTTTCTTTTTTTTATAATGCTTATATGCTTTAAACTTAAGCTGATTTTCAAATATCAAAAATTCAGTAATATGCTTAGTCTTTATTACTTAATCAAGCACTATTTACTACATTAACAATTTAAGTGCACACTTTTCCAAACCAAATTTCACAATATTGGTGTGTTTTTATCCATAATTTTACATACAATTACAGAGATATATTGAGTCAACTATAAGGCTTAAAGAACTGTATGAGGACAAAGATGGGTTAAGAAAAGAAGAAATTGCTGCTTTGTCTGGTCCAAATGAGTTCTCAGAATTTTATTCAAGACTTAAACAAATTAAAGAATTTCATAGAAAACATCCTAATGAGGTAAACATCACTTTCATCACATCAATTGTACTTACGTGAAATATATACTTAAACAATATCCTATATCAACCTATAAATTATTAAGTAACTCAAGTAACAGTTTTTGATTTTAAGTGATACCAAGGGTTTGCAATGACATACAACAAATTAAATTGTTTACTTTATTATCATAGTAGTTAAAGCTAATGTAGGTAAAATGACATTGCTTCATTGGGTCACATTTGTTAGAAGACAGATATTAGATTTCAAAGTCAAAGTCAAATCATTTATTTCAATTAGACCATCTAAAATGGCACTTTTGAATGTCAAAAAAAATACAAAGAAGATTCTAGTTGCCCCTTGGAAGCCCCTAGGAAGAATGGGCAAGAAACTCCACACTTACTCTTTTTAAAATAGGTTTACAATATTTTGTTACATTTGTTAAATAATTATATGTGAAGACAATGTACTCTTAGAATAAACTACTATACTAAAAAAATTAGTATACATGTTCCTCACATATTTACAAATATCTTTACATCTGTCTTAAAGCAAAAATAATATTTGACTGAATTAAATTCTTATTCTAAAATTTCAGATTTGTGTACCAATGTCAGTTGAGTTTGAAGAGCTTGGCAAGTTGAGAGAGAACCCTGCTGAGGATTTTACAAGTATGACATGATTTGGCTTATACTTTTTATAAGCATTTTTATAATATGAGCTTCATTAAGTTAGGGTGTTGTATATTCTTGAGATATTATAAGGAGCCCATGAGCCAGTACAGATAATTATAATATGGTATACAATAAAGATATAGGGATCTCATTTAATTTAATAATCCAAGCTAACAGAAAAGTACTATAGGCATTATTAAAAAAATATTGCCGTCATTTGATATCAGATTTATACTCAAGTAGCTAGTTTATTCATAAATATATAAGTGTGTTCAATGTTCATCTGCTAAAACTACTTTAATTTGAGATTTGATCATCCACCAACATGACTTTCTTTTATATTCAAAGAACTGACTACATTACTTTACCATTCAATACTATTATTAAAATGTATCTCTATATATCTTCATAACTTTTATAGCACCTGTGGAATTCACTGATGAAGAAGGTTATGGAAAATATTTGGATCTACATGAATGTTATGATAAATATATCAATCTAAAAGGAATTGAGGTATGTTTAATCATTTACATTTGTATGTTTTAATAAAATAAGTCAACTACTTTCTACAGTCTCAAGCCTCTAGAATTGACTTTTCAAGTTCAGTTACATAGTAATTTCATAGAATTTCTTTCTTTTTATATTTTATAATGTGCAAACTTGGCACTACAATGAGCACAGAGCTCATATTTATTACTTCATGTTGCGCTCATATATATACTCATCACCTCAATTTTTTTCTTTTTGCCCAAAGCATTAGGCAAATTTAATATTAGAAAATCTCCTACAGGGTTTCAAGTAAGCTTCTTAGTGCTTCACTACCTTGAAAAGTTATAATGGTTTATTTAATTTTTAATATGTTGTAAATGATATTAAATAATGCTTTTCAGAAAGTGGACTACATAACATACTTAAGTATTTTCGATCATCTGTTTGACATACCAAGGGAGCGTAAGAATAGCGATTATAGAAACTATATTCGTGCACTTTTGACATATTTGAAGGATTTTGTCAGCCGTGTGAAACCATTATTGGATCAAGCACAAGAAATGGCGTTGGCTCACCAGGAATTCGTGAAGCAATGGGAGGCTGGCACATTTCCTGGGTGGCCAGTAAGTCTTCTAAATAATAGAGAAGAGAGCAAGAAGAAGACGCTAATAACTAAACAAAAGTTTTCATAGAAATACATGTTTGCCTTATTCGTTATTAAAGTGACTCCTTTTAACATTTGAATTAATTTGTCTTTATTTCAAATTTAGAATGCTTACTGCTTGTCTATTAAACTTCAAAAATCCCAAAGGAGGTTTACTATCTGACGTAAATTTATAAATAAAAATATATATAAATGCTAATATGTATATAAGTATTTAAAACATTATTTCTCGTTATCAGAAAGAAACGGGCGGTGCGTTAACCAACGTAGGCGCTCACTTGGACTTGTCCGCATTCTCCTCGTGGGAAGAATTGGCGTCTTTGGGCTTGGATAGATTGAAATCAGCTCTCATGGCTTTGGGGCTTAAGTGTGGTGGTACATTGGAAGAGAGAGCACAGAGGTATGAAATTTATTCTTAAATAAAAATTGGTTTTTATAAATCATATTTTTTTATTTTAAAATACTCTTTAAAAGTAACTCCAGTTAATAAACATCTAAACTTCTAGGATTATTTAGTCAAGAAAGATATGATGGCCTTAAATAAATCCTAGTTGCCAAAAGGGAGGTAACAAGGCAAATTAATCAGCTCACCAAAGTCACTTAAGGTTTATATCTGTTCGGCTATTGAAGCTCAAGCGTACAGGTATTTTCTTTGCAAATTCAAAAATGAGGGTACTTTTAAATGGTTTTGCTGTTACTGTCTAATTCAGAACAATTTCATTCTTAAGGAAACTATTTTGGATATATTTTCACGTGTCTGACCAAAAAGCAAATATAATATTTTATTCAGTGATTAAAATAATATTCGGCTGTTATACCTTATGCGCACTATTTTTTTTGTTATACCAAGTGTTTAAAGAAACACGCGTTAATAAACGGATCTAAACGTTCTAGTTTATTTATTATGAAGGGTCAGAAGGCTTAGTACTAGTCACCGTCACCACAAACGCTGTAAAAGGGAAAGCGAAACGTCGGATAAATTTAAAATTATGTCAAATAGTTGCTAAATTCATAAGAGTAAACATAACTTTGCAAATTCGGTAAATGCGTTTTTCTTTTAAATGGTTTTGCGTTACTGTCTAATTCAGAGACAATTACTCTTACCAAGCTATTGGTAAACGTTATTTTCGTGTTTGACCAATTGTAAAAGCTAATAGTTAATTGTATTCGTGATTAAATACATATTCGATTACTGTATCTTTAACACCACCAGATTTTTGTTATAGGTATATTGAACATTATTTGTATCCCATAATAAAATAAAAATAATCACGATAAACCTTTCATTAACTATTTACAGTGAGGTTTAAATAAAAAATATCTACCACTGTAGCAAAGTAGAGTTAGCGAATTAACAACGTAATAATTATTCTTTTAAATAATAAAAATGTCCCTAATACATATTCCAGGTTCGCTACTATAGTTGGCAGTACGCGCGCCGCGACCATAGAGAATGTGACGCGTAGAGCAGCGCGCGCTGCCGGCGAAAGGCGGGATGAAAGTGACGATGACAGTGACACATCTGTCGTCGCTGACATCGACTCTGATGATGATGAGGTTCCATACAACCCCAAGAATCTGCCGTTAGGATGGGATGGCAAGGTATGTAAATTTAAAAATGTGTTTAGTTAAATATCAGCAAAATGCAGGTCACTCGGCGAAATTCCTTGTGGTAACTTAAATATTTGACAGATTTCTTTATTGACGTTTGTTCTGATTTGAATCAATTGTTTTTGCTCACAAAAAAAGGGTGCATGTACTTATGTACGCGCGTAAGAAGTTATACTTCTTTGGAATTATTAATAATACATACGGATAGTTAACCTCAATTGTATTGAAGCACTTAGGAAGGTTGATGAGCACAGTTTTTTCACAAATATTGTCTAATATTAATTAGTATTGATTTAAATATTCAATTTAAATCACTTCTGATTATAATTCAGACGCACATATAAAATTCGCACTTGTATAATGAAAACAAAATGAAAACACGTGTTTTAAATGTAAAAACTCAAAGCATGTGGATAAATATTACAAATATAATTACACAGTGAACAGAGGCGGCGTGCGTGCCAACATGCGCCACTATTTTATTATGTCACGGTGCGCGCGCATCGTAAAATTTCACTCTCATCAATTTTTCGTAACGCGTCTAAAGAAGTATAACTTCAAAAACCTTCGTATAATAAATATTTCTGGAATGTTTAAAACAAATTGAGAAGAAAACTCTAGTAACGATAGTTACGTCAATTTGACTCAATTTAAGTCCTGGGCTGCGCGTATAGATACCGGAACTTCCATAAACATTGATATTAAAATCAAAACAATACCTTATATATATTTTTTGCGCGTAGAAGCACCTAGAAAAGGCTATATATGTTTTCATAATATTTAAATCGGTTCACCTCTTTTCACTTACATCTATGCACAGTTACTATAGTGATAATTTCAAGTCCATTAACACTATTAGCGGTTGTCATGGCTACGTTACTGCTGTTTCACAGCGTTACATGTAAAAGATTAAGTAATACCACGATTTTCGTTACATTGAGCATGAATCTATATATACAACAAAATATGGGCTAGCGATGGCTACATGTAGAAATAATTTTTTAAATGATCTATGTCCAAATATTAAGCGTTAATTATTGAATGCGATGCTCTGCTTATAATGATATTCATTTATGGCTCAAATTCTCAGCTATTTAAAATATAACTATTTATCCACCTTAATATTATTTCAAGATTTATATTACTAAATAATTTTGACTAAGATACAATTGCATTATCTCTATATATCTTCTATATAAAATAAATTGTGCGTGTACTAGGTGTACACACGTAAGTAGGGTTGTAACGGAACTCCGCCTCTGCCTCCGTTACTGCGGAACTTCCGCAAATAATTAAACCTCCGCCTCCGCATCCGCCTCCGCAAAATTTATGCGGAGTCATATCGGAAGTTCATTTACGATCACAAACAACGCGCAAGAAGCGACGCTAGGGACGCGGCCGCTCGGCGCGGTTTTCGGGCGAAAGAGAAGTGAAATGGTCGAGAGTTTGCTTGCACGGCCAAGCGGGTGGTGGGAGTGTGAGTGAATGAATAACAGGAATCAACTTGTCAAAGCGTTCGGTACCGCGTAGTTGCAATTGAGCCGTGATTGTATTAAGTAATTTTGTGCGTAATTATTAGTTATTGTTATTTAAATAACGTGATGAAGCCGAAAACTAGTGAAATTTGGCAGTACTTTGTAGAAGTAGACGATAATTATGCAAAATGCAAAAGTTGCGGGAAAAATTATTCAAGAAAAGGCCGGACAACAACATCACTGAAAGGGCATTTAAAATCTATACATAAAGAACAATTTGAAGAACTTTGTAAATTAGAAGAACAACGTGAAAAAGGAAAATTACAACAGACATCGTCTTTAACACCATTGCAGCAAGCTAGACGGCAATTGTCTTTAGAAGAATCCACGAAAAAAAATCAAATGTGGGATACTTCACACCTCAAAGCAAAGAAAATGGATGATGTTATCGGAGAAATGATTGCTTTACAGAATCTTCCGTTCCATTTTGTCGAAGGCATTGGTTTTCGCCGGGTTATGCAAACGGCGTATGTCCAAATTACCAATTAAGAGGGCGTCAGTTTTTTACAGAACATATATGTGATGAAATATATACTAAAATAGCTACCAAAATTGGACAAAGTCTCAAACATTTTTTAAAACTCTCATTTACCACCGATATTTGGTCTGAGCCAAGTGCTAATGTGTCGCTTTTGAGCCTTACTGCACATGGGATAACTGAAGATTTTACCCGTAAGCAAATTGTTGCAGTGATGAAGAGGAATCGGAAAATGACAGCATGGATACCAACAGCAACCTCATGATATGGAAAACACTAATTAATGAATACAATAAAGAAAATAGACTCCAACTAAATGAAGATCCCTTATTGTGGTGGAGATATAACATTAAATATAAAGTTTTTGCTCCCATAGTTCGCATTTACTAATCGGCGCCACCAAGTTCAGTGCCAAGCGAACAGTTATTTAGTGCTGCTGGTTTAATTTACGAACCCTTGAGAAACCGCTTAGAAGGCGAAAAAGCCGCAAAGCTTTTGTTCGTAAAATATAATTTGCCTCTTGTCAATTTTGATTACTAAGATGAATGAAAGATGTACAATTGTACACATTATATATAATATAAATAAACGTTGCTGACTCTATTAATCATAAATTTATTTATATTTTTCCCAACAAAATTTCACCTCCGCCTCCGCCTCCGTTAACCTTTCGCATCGCGGAGGCGAACCTCTTCACCTCCGCATCGCCCCGCCTCCGCTAAGTAGGCCTCCGTTACAACCCTACACGTAAGAAGTGAAACTTCTTTATGATCTTGTTTTTCGAAAAATGATCTACTCTATGCAACTTTACAGAAATTCGTTAAATTAGATAAAGTTTAACAAAAGGCTTTTATTATCATAGACATGAATACAAATATTTCATTTTACCTTATTACTACGAAGATTATTATAGAATTTCATTAATTGTAATAGAATTATTACTATCATTGAAAAACGTGACGATTTGCTACAAAATTTCTCCCATACGTCGATAAAGAAGTTTCATTCCAACGCCGATAATGAAGTTTGACTTCAAAAAGCAACATGGCGCGTAACCGAAAAATGTGACGCGTAACCGAAAAATGTGACGCGTAACGAAAAAATGTTACACTAAATTTTTTCCAACCTCGATAAAGAAGTTTCACTTCAAAAATGTGTGCGTGTACTAGGTGTACACACGTAAGAAGTGAAACTTCTTTACGACCTTATTTTTCGAAAAATGATCTACTATATGCATTGATATACAAAAAACCCAAGATGCACAGTCTCATATAAAAGTAACACTCGAAAGTGTCCCGAAACAATATTTCTGTCCATAACAGTATATGTTACAAGCATATATTATTGCAAAATCAACCTTACGCGAATTGCCTAAAGTTGTTATTACAACGCAGCGTATACGTACTTAAAGCAATAAAATTTTACGACCGACCGTGGTCGGTAGGACAAGGTATTGAGTGGAGTCGAACATGACTTTTTTATTTACAACTATTTAACATAATTTTAAATTTATCCGACTTTTCGGGTGCTTTACAGCGTGAGTGGTCACGGTGACTGAAGACAAAAGGTGTTGGATGTTAAATAGTTGTCAATTTATAATAATACATAACTTTAATCCGGTTAAAAAGTTTTTTCTTTAAATTAAAAAAACATTTTAAATTGGCTACCTCCTGACCCACACTTTATATAGCGTAAATATATTTGTCAAAAACTACACACAAAGAAGTTCAAGAGTACATAAATTTATTTATAAAAAAAACACAAATAAATAACATCGACTCCACTTGTAGACGCGAGACTATTTGAAATGAGCGCACAATTTAGAATGTTGCGCTCATTTTTTGAGGACGTTTTTTTGACGTTGAGTGTGCATCTTGGGTTTTTTGTATATCAATGACTATATGCAACTTTACAGAAATTGGTTAAATAAAGTTAAATAAGATAAAGTTTAACAAAAGGCTTTTATTATCATAGACATGAATACAAATACAATTATTCCATTTTACCTTATTACTACTAAGATTATTACAGAATTTCATTAATTGTAATATTACTATCATTGTTATCGTTATTATATATTTTTGTTATTAACGGCTTCGAATATCTTCGGATCAACCCTGGTAGGGACAAGAAAAAGATGGCGCGTAACCGAAAAATGTGACGTTAATTTTTTTTCCAACGCCGATAAAGAAGTTCGACTTCAAAAAGCAACATGGCGGCGTAACCGAAAAACGTGACAATTTGCTACAAAATTTCTCCCATACGTCGATAAAGAAGTTTCACTTCAAAAGTATGTTCTCGCCATTGGAACGTTTACAAATTTTTAAACTACGTTTGTCCGTATTGAATGGAACCATTAAATCGTCCCGTTGGTCCTAGCGGTTGGGTTATTTACCAAGGATATAGGTTCCTTAATAAAATAAAATAAATAAACACAGAAACGTGTCTATTATACCATTGGCTATGCGATAAATATGGATTTCTGTGTCTATTTTATTCATCGCGGTCGAAATGCGCATTTATTTTAACTTTTACCTCATGCGTAGTTGAAGAATTTACCTCTTGATAACCCATAGAATCTCATTAATGGATCGTAATTATTATAATTATCTTTTGTGCACTTTAACTGATATAATGAGTTGTTATTGTTCCAAGTGAATTCCCTCACCCGACCTATTTTATTTTATAGCGTCTAATTAGATAATACGTCTTGACTGACTTAGGGTAGAATCAGAGTCGAGATTTAGCACTTAAAACAACCGGAGTCCTAGAACGGGCTTTGCGTTCGAAAGACCCATTTTCGGAAAATTTTAGTATAAAGAACAACTTCTGTATATCTAGCCATTGATTATATGTCAACGATGGAAATGATAGTAAAATCTGTTTGGGCTTGCTTGTTGAATTTTTTTTTAACGAATTCTCATTTCTGGTTTATTTAACCAACTTCAATAAATCTAAAAGTGTTTCAAAATTCAACGTATGTCGTGCGTCATGATTACTCAAGCCTTTTAATCCTTAAAATGATTTGATGAGATGAAATTGTTAATTCCCAGAAAATGATATTCATATCTACCTAGTTTTGCCATAAATACTGAAACAAAGAATAAAAATTCTAGATAAAATCTTTTGATTTCGGACAGGATTTCTTCGAATTCTTTCCCTTACTGCTTTGACCACCTTTTCCGTACGAACACTACATGGACGGGCAGATCTTTTTCGGTCACAAACAGGAGGTCTCATTGTATCTATTAATAGCCATGTACGCAAATATTTTACTAATACCAAAGCGTATGGAGAGTTTTAACAATTGCATTTGGCTCCATACCTAGTTAGTGTAATGCAATCACAGCGATTCAGTTATTTTTATCACCCCACTCCATTTTAATATCGCAAAATATTGTATGTATGCATTGGCGCCAAAATGAGAAAACCCAATTAACATTCATATAAAAATGACAGATTCCAAATTCAAATGTAATATTTTGTTTATTTTTAATTGTGACAGTATTTATGGCCAGACTAAGTAGAATATGAGTATCATCTCGGACAAATTTGAATGAACAAATCACTTGAACTAGTCACGGACCTATAAGACCATAAGGTCAACGAGGCCTATTATATCGTAAATTAATTACATTCTAGTACTATTTATACTTTGTAATCACCAAGACAACTTACAAGCTTCATGAATGAAGCAATTATTGCATATTGATCAATCAAATACTAACGATAATATTTAAAAATAAATTTTAATCTATATATGTATATAGGTATAATTTAAACAAATTTTTTGAAGTTATACTTCTTTAGGTGCGTTATGAAAAATTGATGAGAGTGAAATTTTACGATGCGCGCGCACCGTGACACAAAATTAACAGAATGAAGTTGCCCACGGAAGATGCTACGGCATTGGACATAATTTAAAAACAACATTCGAATAATAATAGAATTTATGTTACACTTAATGTAAGAGAATAATAATAAATATTTATTTATTTAATTTTTCAAATGTAAACTGAACTTTATTGACTACACTTCTGGACACATCTATTGGCCCACCTTGCATTTTCAGTTTCTTTTGGTCCTACCTAAAAATTTATATTAGGTCGAGTAAAAAGTTTTTATGCAATTTTGAACCTGGCACATTCATAATTGCATTCAATATTTTTTTTATTTTTTTCCAACACAAAATTTAAAGAAACAAAAGACAATTTGGAGCCTGCTCATTGATACCAAACAATCGAATACTAAGAAAACTTGATTTTATTGGTTTAGTTGGATTTAATTCTTGAAAGTGTGATTTTTCTCTTTGGTTTTGCAACAAACATTACTTATTCTTAACAATAAGATGAGGTTTTATCAATAATCTATGGATACTTCGCCTGAAGTCGCGCCCAAGCTGTTGCACTTATCCGGGGCCGGACACAGCCAAAGAAATGTGAGTGATCAACTTAATTTAAGTCGATCTGCGGTCCGGAAACGTTTATCGGAGATACCTAGAGACTGGCGGCTTTGTTCGTCGCCAAGGAAGGCCACGATTTCGGGTCACAACTTAAAGGCAGGGTCGATTCATCGTGACGACCAGCTTGAGAAATCGTCACCTTACCTCCATTGAGATACAAAACCAACTTCGCGACTTCCATGGAGTAAATGTGAGCGCTCGAACTGTTCGGAGAAGATTAGAAGAACGCGATATGGTACCACACAAGCCAGCTAATGGCCCAAAACTAACGCGAGTCCACCGAATAGCGCGCCTTCATTTCGCACGCTCATACTTAAAATGGACTCAGCAGCACTGGAACGGTGTACTCTTTTCTGATGAGTCTAAAATTGCGTTACATGGCAATGATGGAAGGAAGAAGGTCTACCGACGTAAGGGAGAGCGTTTTGCACAATGCTGCTTTGAAGAGAGGGTTGCTTATGGCGGTGGCTCATGGAATGTCTGGGGCGTTATATCCGCGAGCGGCAAAACTCAACTTGAGGTTGTTACGGGACCACGGCTGCCAACATTAAATGCTGCAAGGTACATTCTTGAGTGCTTAGAACCTCACGTGATGCCATACGTGGACTATGTGGGCCCAAATTTCCTTTTTATGCAAGATAATGCAAGAGCCCTTACGGCCGGCATCGTCAGAGAATATCTTCGGGATGTGAAAATCGCAGTTATGGACTGGCCAGCCAGAAGCCCAGATATGAACCCAATTGAGCACATGTGGGACGAGCTAAAAAAGACGTGTTAGGGCTCGTCAGCTAGTTGCCCAGACGATGCAGGAATTGAAAACTGCCATAGAAGAGGAATGGGAGATGATCCCTCAAAATTTCATAGAGCGGTTGATAAACCTAATATATGCCTAATCGTAAGAGAGCTGTCGTAGATGCCCATGGAGGCAACACGCGTTATTAAATTAAACCTTTATTTGATAAAACACGTTTTTTATTCAAAAATCAACTGACTTCATCAAGGCGCATACCCGACATGTTAGGCGTATCTCCATGTAGTGTGGTATTCTAAATTCAAATTTAAAAACAATACGATCGAAAAAAGATGGTAAAATGTATCAGGTTCAAAACTGCATAAAAACTTTTACTCGACCTAATATAAATTTTTAGGTACGACCAAAAGAAACTGAAAATGCAAGGTGGGCCAATAGATGTGTCCAGAAGTGTATAATGACTCCTTTTCCAGTCTTTGATTATTTAATTGTAATTAATTATTTACATGCATCAAAAACTATTTTTGATTAATGCCAAAAAAGTATAACTTCTTACGCGCGTACATAAGTACACGCACCCTTTTTTTTTCATCGGATGAGCGCGTTAAGCCGTCTGCTGAGATCTTAAAGTTATGCAATAGAGAATTATCTGCACTACAAAAAAATCCGCGTTCTAACCGAATCAGCCTAGGATAATATATATATAAATTTGCTATTATATAAAATTGCCTGTATTTACATATTGCTTAAAGATTTCTTAAAATCTTGCATATTTGTAGTTTCGATTTTATTTTACCGTATCTTTGTTTCAGCCTATCCCATACTGGTTATACAAACTACATGGATTGAACATCAGCTACTCGTGTGAGATATGTGGAAACTACACGTACAAAGGGCCGAAGGCATTCCAACGCCATTTCGCGGAATGGAGACACGCTCACGGAATGAGATGCCTTGGAATACCCAATACAGCTCATTTTGCTAATGTCACTCAGATTGAAGATGCCCTTGCTTGTAAGTATACTTAATAGAAACTTATACATTCTTGTCGTACAGAAGTCACGCTACATGTTTCTGAGTTGTTTGAAAATTGTTCGCGTACGATTGGTTGTTTTAAATTATGTTACTGCCTCTTTTATTGCATCGTGAAACACAAACTATATTATAATAATAGTATAATTTGTTTTAGTGTGGGAGAAAATTAAAAATCAAAAGGAAGGTGAGAGGTTTGTTGCTGAAAACGACGAAGAATTTGAGGATTCTCAAGGAAATGTCGTTAATCGCAAAACCTATGAGGATTTGAAACGTCAAGGACTCCTTTAAGATTAATATATAATGTTAATAAACATCTGAATTTTGTTTCTTAATTTCATATTTGTCCTTTAATAACTAGTATTTAACTTGTATTATTCAGATATATAACTAGATTATTACAAGTGTATTCGGTGCATAGTTGGATAATAGGTACGAAATAATAAAAATATAATTTAAAATTATTTTATTGATCACTAAATTTACAGCTTTTGTTCACTTTATTAAATTTTCTACAACTAAATTGCCTAATACAGCCTTATATCAAGGAATGTGAAAAATAGAATATTGGCAGCATTAGACATTGTTGTTACAATATATTTCTGACTTCAAACATATATATATAAAGTTTAAGCAATATATAATACTATAGATACATATTTTGTTGCGTGCCTTCTTCATATTTTATCACCAAAAATGTTAGTAACTCAGTCTTGATATATTATAATAATAATAAAAAAGTATACTTGAAAATGAAATGCATAACTTAAAATAGTGAAATTTTATTTTATCATGAAATGTTAAAAATAAGCTGTTTGTAAACTATGAAAAACAAGAGATAGCCTATAAATCAAATAGGTCTCAGAAATCTCATTAAAACATTATCTGTAGCAATAAATAACTGGAATATATAAACAAAATGCAACAGGGCTGCATGTATCACTTTGCCTTATTGGAAACAAGAAAACAAGAACGATTGATCTTAAATTAACATGATATCACCCTGAAATATATCAACTAGGAAATAATTTTACAACTCGTCATGTGATTCCTTCTTTTGTTGTTGCTGTATGAAGTGTGAATCATCACAGGCAGCTGGGGAAGTTAAGTCTATTTTATATTCACAGCGATAAGGCTCAGTTACAGATGTTAATTTTGTTTCTAAGCCACAGGTGATATGAACAGTGGTCATTCGGGCTGGTCCATTCCAGCATGTTACTCCATTGGTATATTTCATAATGGAATATTTGTTGTCACCATCTCCTCCCCATTCTCCCCAGTTCCCTAATCCAACTTCCCCACCACCATTTCTTGACTTTTGTGTAACTCTATCAAACAAACAAAGCCTGTATACATACTCTTTGTCTTCGTGTTCTAGACATTCTCCATCCATTGTTGCGTATTCCTGGTTTAAACCATAATCCTTCTCTAAGTTTTGTTGGATTGTTCTTATATTGGATTCAATCTCTCTAACAGCACGCTCAGCATCATTGTATAGTCTACGAGCTTCTGATGCTTCATCCATTAATCTCTTCGTTTCATCATCATAAGTCTTTGCTTGATCATTAATTTGATCATCAATGTTAAGGTCATGCTGTTCATTGTCTTCAGTCTCTTCTTCACCTTCTTGATCTTGTTCGTGTTGTTCTTCTTCATGAGGAAGCTCCTCATCATGCTCCTCTTGATCATCTTGTTCTGGACGGAACATACCCTCTTCCATCATTAACAATGGTTTCAATAAAGACCATACAGATGACACAAATGTATCTTTATCAACATTTTCACTGTCTCCAAAGAAGTACTGAATCTCTTCTTGATCCACTTCTCCATCCTTATTTTTATCAAATACATTAACAACTCTTATTTCATTTACACTGAGAAGGCCATCATTATCAGAATCATACTTATTGAATTGCTCTGTTGCTTCTTTAAGAAGCTCTTCTTTTTCTAACTCAGCTTTTCTTTCTTTTTCTTTTTCCTCCGCTTCTCTGTACACTTTAAGTGCTTCATTTTCTTTTGCCTCTATATCACTTTTTAAGGCTTCTTTCTCTTCCTTAATTTTCAAAGCTTCTATTTTATCTTTTTCTAATTGAGATAACTGTTCTCCCATTTCACTGCGTTTTATATTACCTTTTTCGATTAGTTCTAGTCTAAGAGAGTTACCCGCTTTATGCAGTTCAGCCAATTGTTGAGCTTGAGCCCTTGCTTCGCGCCCGAGCTCGTCGCAAGTGTTAGAACACGTGTTGGGTGCAGCATACTCATCAGTTCCATCACAACAGTCACAAATTCCATCATTCACTCGTGAACTTGGAATATTTTGCGGTCGATGTCCTGCGTTTGTGCAGTGAAAAACACTATTAAGACACGCCGATGTACCGGGTTCATCACTTCCATCGAAGCAATCGCAATAATCATCATTTACGTAGCTAAATGGAATCGTATTTGTACCATCAAAACATGTAAAATCCTTTGAAGGTGAATAAAGTGATGCTTTCGATAAAGAAACGCCGCGAGGCCGCGGCACGTCCGATAGAACGAAAATTACAAGTGAAGAGGTGACTAAAACAAATGACTGCAGCTTACTTAGCCAATTAGAATAAATCATGATTAATTTTAAAATATTCACCGATATCGGCCACTTAATATTACAGCGAAATAACTATGTTTTGTAGAACGAAATGAGAACGGTAGATTCTAGTAAAAATGTTAAATGACAGCTAAGTGCCGACGAACAGCGGCTGACTCTTGGCGAATGACGTTTTGACAAATGTTTCAATAACATTACTTGCCACTGAACTGCAGTATATATCTACTTCCAAACCCCACGTATTGGATTTAAATTCTATATATTAAAAGCAAGTTTTAAAGAAAACATTATTGGTAAGGTAACGTGTTAGCTGCGTCGTTATCGAAAAAATATAAGTAAATTTAACACACAGCCTACTTATTCTGAGGTAGACCAAGAGTAATATAAGACATAAGTATAGGTACACTAGACACTGAGAAGTGAGCGCACATTCAAAACAGTCATGAGAATATTAAAATAAAGAAAATGGTGAGTTTCGAAGGTATTCTGTAGTTGCAAATTTAAAATTATAATTTTTAAGTCTTATGGTTAATGGTCTTATTTATAAATGGTTAGTTTAAGTTATGTAACAATATACTAGAAAATGAAATGCAGCCCCTCCACCCTTGCGTACTAAAGCACAGACAATTCTTTGGTAAATCACAGATTAATTTTAAAACTTCGGACAATGTAGTAACATAGCTTTCACTAGCATTTTGAAATCATTCAGTTACTTTTAACACGACCTTAAAACATTAAACAACTTCACTCAAAACCACTGCGGCGTCGCGACAATCAAGTTGCAGTGGCGACAACAAGACAGAATGTATCAAACCAATGCCGAGTGAGTGAGCGAGACAGTGCGGGGAAGCGGGAGGGTGGAGGAGGGTGGTCACTCGTTCTACTAATTAGAACGGCCGCGAGGTATGGTCTCGCCACTTCTTTCGGCCAGCGCTCGGCCGAGCACTCGGCCTATGATTAGACGACCGAGTGCTCGACCGAATAATAATACCCGCCGGTTAAATGTTCGGTACGTAGTGATCAAGGATGAGGTTCAGACAATTCTTTCGTACATTCACAAATTTTACTTCCCGACAATTTCATATTACAATCTAAAGCTGTGGTTCTTCAACTACGACATCATTACGGTCACATAACAATCAAGTAACAAGTATACATTCGACAACAAACGAATTAGCAAACTATGGTGGCATATTCGTTCCCATCAGCTCGAGGTACGATCCGTCTTCACAATTTACGGTTTCACTTCGATGATTGCATCTACCAAGAACAATTCGAAATTGTAAGCCGTTCGCATTGAGGATCAACATTCATATCACCATCATCATCACGATTGACCCAAGTTACGAGTTGGCCGGTCTCGCGAGATAATTTTGAATTTGTCAATTGTCAGTTGTCACTAAATTTAATTATTTGTAATATTTACAAATTAAACGTTGTTCGGTTATGAAAACAATAATTATTCTGATTAAACGAGACTGCATGATTGGATATGTTTAATTATTGTAGAAGAACTATAAAAAGTTTCATAGCTCTATATATATATATTTTTTAAATAGTAACCTTAAAACTACTGAAAATACCAATTAAATAAATATTTTAAAATGGACAGTGTTTTAAGCTCTTCTACATTTTCTATGTTGGAAGGAAAGCTTGACAATCGAATTCTTAAATCCATAAACGTATTAGGATTTGAGAAACCTACAGAAATTCAAGTAAAGGTTTTGCCTCACATGTTACTTGGTGAAGATGTTATTGCAGCTGCCAAAACTGGTAGTGGAAAAACACTTGCATTTCTAATTCCAGCTATTGAATGCTTATTGAAGCATAAATTTACTAAATCTCTTGGTAAGAATCTCAAGTAGCCTTAACTTGTTCCATAATACAGTGTATACATCCCTTATAAAAATATATGAGTGAAAATGTTAATAAAAGATGGGACATTATTATGTTCTATGTATGTTCTAGTCTAAATTAATATTTTATTTTATTCTGTTGACTTACAGATATTAATGGGCTTATATTCAATGTTTCAGGTACTGGCTGTATCATAATTTCTCCAACAAGGGAACTTGCATTACAAACTTTTGAAATACTTGGTAAATTACTTAACAACATAAATCTGTCACATGCCTTAATTGTAGGAGGTGTTAAGAAATCAAAAGAACTATTAGCTCTTCAAAAAGGTATGGTTAGTATCTATTTTTTCTTGTTATAAATGAAATCCATTTTCATACTTAATTACAACTACTTAATATTTATATCATATTATTTAAGTGCTGTGAGTATAGTGATGTAGTTTGCAGTTCTCAATCATGCAGTTGTATGTTTGAGCTCCAACTGTGCACTAATACACTCATGATTACCAATGCATAATTATACATATATGCCTGTTATATTTGTCAATCAGGTGTCAATATAGTTGTTGGTACACCTGGAAGAATATTAGATCATTTAAAGAATACCAAGGAATTCAATAGTCATAACTTAAAATGCCTAATATTAGACGAAGCTGACAAATTACTTGAAGCAGGATTTCAAAAACACATTGCAGGCATAATCAAAGAATTACCTCGTAAGTATAGCTATGATCATTTCAGGTTTGAGTACTAAAGATTTAAATTAAATCTTATTATAAATCTGATTTTTTTACAGAGCAGTTTCTTGCTAACCATACATGTTAAAAAACTTACAAGCTATTTTTCATAGTCATATCTTAATTGCCGTTTATATCAATGAAATAAAACATGTATTTTTTACCTCTTTATATTACATACTTTATAAGTATACAGATATATATTTTTGATAGGTTGGTGCCTATAATAGGACTAGCTAGAGATACCCTGTGGAAACAGATTACCAAATCTTATTATTTGATATCTATTATATATATATATTATAAGTTGGTACTTCTAAGAATACTTACTTAAACTCAATGAAACAGATACTTTTATTATAAATTACATACATCTTTGTAAGAAATAGGAAGTATTGAAAAATCCATTCAAAAAAATAATTTAAAATTTTCAGAAAAGAGACAAACTGGTTTATTTAGTGCTACCATAGATGATAAAGTAAAAAATTTGGCTCGTCTTGCCTTAAAGGAAAAGCCAGTGTTAGTTGCACTCACAGATGAAAAGCAATCTACAGTTGTTGGTCTCAAACAAGGGTACTATTTCATTTATACTTTAATTAATCCATGTGAGTATAGAAGACTTAAGTGCCTTGAAAATATAGTTTCGCTTATTTGAAACAAATAAAATTATAGAAAATATTGAATTATTATATACTATTTAATTTCCATATAGAGCAGTGTTGGCCTAGCGGCTTCAGCTTGCGACTCTCATCCCTGAGGTCGAAGGTTCAATCCCCGGCTGTGCACCAATGGACTTTTTATGTGCGCATTTAACATTCATTCGAATGGTGAAAAAAAACATCGTGAGGAAACCGCCATAAGACATGATCATGAAACAGATTCAAAATCTGAGGCCCAGACTTAAAAAAGTTGCAGCACCACTGATTTTTTTTAAATTAATTTCAGTTACTTCATTTGTCCAGTAGAAGAGAGAATACCATGGCTTTACAAAATGTTGAAAAAAGCAAAGAAATTAAAAGTACTCGTATTCTTTTCATCATGTAATTCTGTTGATTTTCATTATGAGTTCTTTATGTATTGTAAAGCTCCCGTTATAAGGATACATGTAAGTAAGAGTTATGTATTCAATGTATTTAATAAGTGGCACTGGGTTTGATTCTCGACAAAACAAAATAGTATAAGATCCCGATATACAACAACCTTCACCAAGATGCTTATTTAATGAAACGTATTTTATATTTAATTTAATATGTCAATAAATATAATCCATATGGGTTGCCTAGCAAATTTCAGTCCAGAGTATGTTTAATTAATATGTTTTTATAATTTGCATGTAGTAAATTTTTTTAATTTTTTTCAATCAATATTTTTAATCAGGGTAGTATTATATATGTATCACAACTTTCTTTTTTACTATAGATGTATATATACTTTAGTGTCACATAAAAAATATACACATAAATAATTAATTGATTAAAAACAACCTAACGTTTGCATATTCTATGGGCTTCATACTTTCGATTGGTATAGAATTTATCTAATAATCATACCGGTGAAATGTTTAAAAAAATATTTTTTTTTAAATATTAAAACACTCTGGACTGAAATTTGCTAGGCAACCCATATGGATTATATTTATTGACATTTTAAATTAAATATAAAATACATTTCATTAAATAAGCATCTCGGTGAAGGTCGTTGTATATCGGGATCTTAGACCAAAATGATTTCGGTATGGAATTGGAATTCACAATCTGAAGAACTGATTGTCTACTACAGTTAAAATGTTTCCTTGGGTTAAACGACTTCATTTCTGTATTATCTATTTATTATATGCAGATTTCTTATAAATTTTAAAATAGAAATATTATCTATTTATTATATTAAGCTGTTGGAGGTAAAAAAATTTAGGTTCTTATTTAAAAAAACTAATGTTCAAAACCTGTACATTTGGAGCCTATTCAATATATAGATAAAATAGCATTAGTTTCGCATTTCTAGGGTAAATTAAGTCAATGCCAACGAAAGGAGGCATTTCAAAGTTTCGTTGAAGCGAAAAATGGTGTTTTATTATGTACTGATGAACGATGACATCCAGCCGTTGACTGGGTTGTTCAGTTTGACCCACCCAAAGAGGTAAGGGAAATAAATACTGGCGGGCGCCGCAAACGTTGTCCTACATGATATTTCAAAGGTTTCGTTGATAGTACCTACAGAGAATGGTACCAGTGTTTATATATTAGTACTGTAGATTATATTTATAACGATAATACGGGATTGTAGCGGCAGAGGGGATAATGATCTAGAATTCAAGCCATTGACTGGGTTGTTAACAGTTTGACCCAGCCCACAGATGTTAAGAGGTCCCCAACAACCAACGAAAAAAAAAATTTTTTAAAAAAAAAAAAAAAAAAAAACACAACAATAACATAATTTCCGAAAAAAATTAATAGTGTCGGACCTATCCAGGCTACCATTTTTGAACGTTGTCCTTTAACTGTCACATTTCAATGTCTTTTTGTTCGATAGTACGTGTAGTTAACATTTTTTAAATAAGACCTTTGAAAGCTGTAACTGACGAAATGCAGAGCGAAATATTACCGGTCTACAGCCGTTATATGTGAGCATTTTAGTTACATACACACGTACAGGTAGAAGTTTATATTTATTATAGATTAGAAATACAGTTTGGAAAGGAAATGTTGGGTTGTAAAAACATGTCGTAAATTAAAACTCTGTAGGTTCCCTAAGCTTGATGAGTTAATGATTAGAATTTAAATGAAAAAGTATTTGTAAAGTAAGCAGATCTTGCTGTTGCAAATTTAAAACTGGATTTGCATATAAAAGCCAATATAAACAGGCCCCGCGTTTGTTTTTTTTTTCTTTTTAAGACACCCGTAGATTTTTTTTCTAGATAGTATGTGTCTACATAATATATATAATAATAATATAGAGTTACGTGTCGATCGCGTGATTGGTAATTCAGTTAACGTTTGTGTCCCGCGCTGCGCAAACTTTCCTTTAACTTTCAAGATGTTTGCCGGTATCTATACAGTCTTTAAGTTTTTCATAAATTTTTGTCTATTTTCGATAACAATTAGAACCCAATAAAATCCTAAAATCTTCGCTACAAACTAATTTTTTTTTTCTCTAGGAATACATACATAGAGTAGGCCGTACAGCGAGAGGTCTGAATAACACTGGAAATGCTGTAATCCTACTCCGACCGGAAGAGGAAGTTTTTACTCAATATTTAGAAAAGGAAAAGGTTTATTTAGATAAATACACATTTGATTCTTCACAAAATGGGGTTCAAAAAATGGTGAGTTGTTTGTGTTAGCGGTCTTTTAATACAGTTAGTTAGCTTAGCGCTGTTATTTGCAAAAAAATTTTTGTCATTGAATTTGAAAACACATATTTTTTTAGTTGGAAGACCTCATACAAAAGAATGGAGTTATGAAAACCTTAGCTCGAAAGGCGTACTTATCGTCCCTCAGATGTTACAATAAACATTCACTAAATACTGTTTTCAATATTAAGAAATTGGACTTGAAGTTGGCAGCCCGAGCTTTTGGATTTCTGGAACAACCTCACGTAGACTTTCGTATCCTTTTTTATTAATTATAAATTAGTACTGTGTTACTACGATGTTAAACTATGTAGATATAGTAATCCCTTTCTTAATTATGTCAAAATTCAATTCAGAAACCCTCCAAGTCAAACTTGGCCCGATACTAGTTATGGAAATCGACATGGATTGAATTTTAAAACCGGCAAACACGAATATAAATTAAAATACAGATAATAATTAATGATGTAGTGTTTAACAGATAACACAAATACCAAAAACTACAGAAACCAGAAACTTCACAAAGTTTGAAAAGAAGCGTTTCTGACTATCGGAGTTTGACCTTTTAACAATATTCTCAGGCTTGTGATTGAGAATGGTAACCATGGTCAACAAATACCGTAAAAACGTCACGTTTTATAATAGGGTCATTAAAATCTAACCAACAGTAAATAAGTTATTAAGTAAGAAATCCTTTGAATGAAATGAAGTATTGCGTTATATAATCTGTTGAAAATATGTTTTCTTAGCATCAGATATCAGTAAATAATAAGAAGAAGAATAAGAAAGGAAAATAACTGCATTATTCTAATTTTAAGTTAAGTTAAGAAAAAGCTAATAATAAATATTGTAATTATATTGCTGTTTTATTATCCTACTCATAAAACTATGGAATGTAATGATCTGCAAAATATGATGGCATTTTTTCATTAATTTATTTTACAGAATTTTAAAATAAAATTATGATATGACAACATTAGAAAACCGCTGTGGTTTGTATAAATGTAACAATTGCAGTCTTGTCTAGGAGCGTGACAAATACATATAAAAGTAATTTGAAAAATTATTAAGTATTTGAAAATTACTTTATGAAAATTACTGACTGGGTAGTCCATTTATTAGCCACGGTATCAAATATCTAAACGTTTTCTCGCCATAGACGTTGTTTGCTCTCGATGTACAGAGCCGAATTTGCGTAACTGCCCGGGTCTGTACGTCATGCAGACAGTAGACATGCATGCGCCAACTCGTTTTTTGCCAACTCGAAAAAGAATTCATTCAGCTACATGGTTTATGTAGTATAGCGTAAATGGTTAAAATCTATCAACGAATAATGGTATAAAAAATATAGTAATTACGATAGTTATGTAACCTAACATTACTTTATATATATTTTAGTTAATAATTAAAAGCGTAAACCAAAATATGTTAGCAATCATCGCATCGGTCGACTACACTTGTATTGAAGTGTCACGTAAGCCAAGTTATTTTTTTTGTTAGCGTCGCAACCCCACTACCCCTAATTTTATGTTACTTATAGGCTCATATTTTGAGGCAGTTGACACCCAGCTTCAAATAAAGTGTTTTATTTAACATATATTGATCATAGCCATCGAACTTAACGATTATACCTTTTATATTTCTATTCTTCGTTCATAATCTTCTGTGGCACTCAACAGCGCATATGTTTAAAACAAATGAATGTAAGTTGTTAAGGCTCAATATTAGTTTAATTGGAAATGATCGCGGAAAACGTGTAACGGGAAACGTGCGGCAGCTTAGCAAAAATATAATTCCCATTTATAATTACACCGATATTTTAACGTTAAAACTGGAATGCATGCTACATTAATTCCGTATGTCAAATCTAATACGTTTATAACATTCAGAAGTCACACTTAGCATAGGTGTAAAATAGTAAGCTAAATTAATAGGCTATTCCGTATGTGAAAAGCTTAGATTTTGACATTCGAATGAAATATTTCCCGCTAAATCCCGAATTTCTTATTAAATAATTTTGTTCTATGCGAGACGAGGATAGTTATATTTAAAAAAAAGTGTGTCCGTCGTATATGAAATTGATTTAATTAAAACACAAAATAATATTTTTTATTTACACTGTTTAATTGTACTGTTATGAAACACGTGTTCTAAATATAAAAATACTAGAATATACAACTTGAACATAGTTATTATCGATTTTCATGCCACCTAGAACTAACTTCATTCTGTTAATTTTGTGTAACGGTGCGCGCGCATCGTAAAATTTCACTCTCATCAATTTTTCATAACGCGACTAAAGAAGTAGTATAACTTCAGAAAAAAACTTCTTTTTATCTTTTACTATAATTATGTAAATAAAAGTCGAGCTGTTTGTAAATTATATATTTAAATTAGTTACACATAAGAACATTGTATTTCATACAGCAATTACAAAATATCTGAACATTTGACTTAAAATCAACGTATGGGTCGTTTATTATTACCCTTTTGCCTATAGATTTTAGTTTTCTCGTCCTTTTTATGGGCAGGAGCGTTTAAACTCTTAAAGTACCCAAACCCGCCTCCGCCCTTCCTTTTATGCGTCGGTCCGCTCTTAGGCGCAACTTTCAATTCAACGGCGGGAGGAACAGTGAAACCAAACGATTTTGATACTTTAGCCAAGTCAATAGTATCAATATCGAAAATTGTTTTCAGGTGATGCGAGTCGTAAGCCCGGAGGTAGCTTTTGAAGGCTTCTTTCGCTGATTGGTTAAGGAAGTAATTTCTGGATATCAATTTCTCAAGCTGAAAATAAAAAAAATATTGTTACATAAGTACTTTCTTCATAGATAATTGTCTCTGAGTTATTTTAATGTGTTTTACTCTGTCCTGTGTACTATTTAAAAAAAAACTGTTCGTAAGTTGCGCGCCAACTAAATTTATTTAAGAAAATATATTACCTGTAGCTGTATATCAGCGACTTTATTCCAGGAGAACTCAAACTCGTTGAGTGTGACCTTGGCTTGCTTCAAGAAACGCAGGAAACCCAATTCTTCAGGTCTAAGGAATAAGAGGGCGTGCCCACTCGTACCGAGACCACGGGCCGTACGACCGACGCGATGGATGTATTCCTTAAAAATATCATAAAATGAAAATTACTAATACACAACATTTTTTTGACTCTCATACCTGAGGTCATAGGATCGATCCCCGGCTGTGCACCGATGGATTTTCTTTCTATGTGCGCATTTAACATTCGCTCGAACGGTGAAGGAGAACATCGTGAGGAAACCGACATGTCTTAGACCCAAAAAGTCGAAGGCGTGTGTCAGGCACAGGAGGCTGATCACCTACTTGCTTATTATAATAGATATAAAAAATGATCATGGAACAAATTCAGAAATGTGAGACAAAGACCTAAAGAGGTTGTAGCGCCACTGATTTATTTATTTAAAACGTCCTGGGGTCGGGTTCCATTCCCAGTCGGAACGCAAATTATAAATCAATAAAGAAATCAGTGATGCCCTCGTGGCTTGAGTGCGCCTCTCAACCAGATCGTGCGTTCGAATCACGACAGTACACTAATGAATTTTTCTATGTGCACAATAAACAATATTGTGAGACATGCCTTATGGGCCGTTCAAGTAAGGGGGCGTCCATAAATTACGTGAGGTGTTTAAGGGGGGAGGGGGTCGAGTCAAATCTTATTTAATCTTACGTTGGAGAGAGGGGGTGTCTCGGCAAATATCACGCAATTTTTTTCTGATTGAAAAAATTTTTTTAGGAAAACTTTTGACCCTAAAGGCCATCTCTGCAACTTCCCGCTAACTCCATACCTAAACGCTCAACATTTCACTTATTTTGTTTTTGAGCTCTTCGAGCTCAATAGTACGAATTCTGTGTTATTTTGAGGTCTCCGAGCTCAAAAAGATAGCTTCTTACGCGTTTACGTAAGAAACCGACATTTTGAAAAATCTCACGTGAGATTGGGGGATGGGGGAGGGGGTGAAATAAAATCTCACGACATCTCACCAGGGAGGTACAGAAAATTTAAAAAAAACACCTCAAGTAATTTATGGACGCCCCCTAAGCAGATTTACTACAATTTCCCTTCCCCCTCCCCCCTTGTCAAAAAAGTAAGCAAAGCTCTTAATAATTAACTAGATCTCTCCACCCATGTCATCGAATTAAGAAAATTAAACAACTCCCTGCCCCCTATAGTACCTTACTTCATACTTGAACGGCACCTTTGATCTAAAATTGTATTTATTTTTAATAATGGTCAAGAACAAGTTTTTTTTTAAACCCCTCCCATACCTTAGGATCATCCGGTGGGTCGTATTGTACGATCCAATCAACGGCTGGGATATCCAGTCCTCTAGCAGCGACGTCGGTACAGAGCAGAATACCAGTCTCCGCGTTACAAAACTGGAAGAATGTGGTTGTACGCTTCGATTGCTGCTGTTTACCCTGCAATATTTATTTTTAAATTATAAATAATGTATGAAAACGCCGTAATAAAATCGTGATAAGTAAACACGATGGTTATTTAATCTCGCAATATGAGGGAAAGAGAGGAAAACACACACAAGAATAGTATTAGGATCTTGGAAGTTTGGAACTATGTATTCTTATTTTTTTTTTATGGCTCTGGCACGATTTGTGCATTAGCCAGCGTCAAGTATAGGATTTTTTATAATTCGTGCTTGTCTTTAGGAATTCGACCGTGTCCTCCATGTACGGTTTTAAGCACTCGCCCGGTACCGCACAACCCTCCCAAAGGCCGAGAACAAATTTAAATTAAATTAAAACTTGCCCTCGAACCGGGAATCGAACCCGGTACCCCTCACCTAGCTGCCACTTAATAAGACCGCTAGGCTATGAGGCCCCCAAAACTATTCTTTATAATAAAAATTTAACGGACATGCCGTATAGTACGACGGTCGAAAGAGGTCAAATATCGACCATTTTTTTTATTTATTATCTCTGGTTATCTATGAACATGACATAAAATACAACTATGTAACAATGACAATTCACTTATCAAGCAAATCTACAGATACTGTTGAGACTGCAGAGACATTTATCTACATATTCTAATACTTTCATTTATATTTATAGATAAGTACACAATTATTAATAAATTTAATATCAATAACACGTACACAAAAAAGCCAATCAATTAGATATTAACTACTCATAGAACGAACTCGCCTTAAACAATATATTTTTTTTAATTATGCAAATAATCGTTTTAACCATCAATGGAACCAGCATTAAGCTGGAAAATTAATTAACCTTATAAACTTCAACACTCACGTTGATCAATACTTCACAATGAAGTGTTGTTCTATAAAATACTCACATGTATAGACAGAACAGGTAAATCTATGTAATTGAACAGCTCGTGATGGTACTTGACAGCCATACAGGTGGAGAAGAATACCATCACCTTCTTCTTTCTATTCTTCTTTAAGAATGTGAATAGCACCATCATACGCCTCTCCGATGGACACACTATGTAACTGAAATTTTGTTGAATCACTGTTTTAGTATGTTTTTTTTAATGTTTAGGCCGACTTGGCCTATGCATATGATCTTAACTGAGACTAGCTTTGTACATGGACATTTTTTATTAATAATATAATATAGGGAGGCAAACTGTTACACAAGGCCACCGTAAGAATACTATTAAATAGAAACATAAATTCTGCATTGTATCCAAAAAATAATATAAAACAATATCTATACACCCAACAAAATTATTTTAAATTGTTCTAATTTAAGTTGGTATGTAGTATTTCATTATTTGAGTAGCATTTTTGATTTGCCGTAAGGGGAAATATGTTTTTTTATTGGATAAGCAAAATAATAAATATGAAAATTACAAGTTTAGGTTAAAATGTTAAACATCTAATTGATTATTTTAAATATTAAAAATTAAGTGTTATTGAGAGTTTTCTGGTTTTTAAAAGCTATTGTTATGTAAAGCTGTATGTTAATAATTATTAATATATAAAAAATATATATAATTAAAATTTTACATTAAGTTATGGCGGTTTTTGAAATTATGAATTTTTTAAGCCTTAACAGAATTACAATACACAGACAATAAACAAAACATTCTTTGTACATATTTTCTAAAAATAAATAAATAAATCAGTGGCGCTAGAACCTCTTTAGGTCTTGGCCTCAAATTTCTGAATCTGTTTCAAGATCATTTTTTAAATCAGCCTCCAGTGCCTGACACGCCGTCGACTGTTTGGGTCTAAGATGTCGGTTTCCTCACGATGTTTTCCTTCACCGTTCGAGCAAATGTTAAATGCGCCACATAGAAAGAAAGTCCATTGGTGCACAGCCAGGGATCGAACCTACGAACTCAGGGATGAGAGTCGTCACGCTAAAGCCACTAGGCCAACATTTCTAAAAATATTAATAATAATTCATCTCATAGATGACTTACCCCTGTTCTAATGAATCCACAGTGGCCTGTTCCCTATGATCATCCACCCCTACGTACACCGGTTCATGTTTGACAGCAAGTGCTGTCAGAGCTTCCGTTTTCTTTGTTTGTGTTGCACTAAACAGCATTGTTTGACGGCGTTCTAACAAAAATTATTAGTTAATCCAATAGCTTATTATATAACTAAGAACCATTTGTTATTGGGTAATATTTATGTTTGGTTGTACAGTAATTTTTGAATAATATAAGAGATAGCCATATAGGACAAGTTATTATGTTAAAATCGCTTAGATTGAATTAATGTTGCTGCGGGATATGAGACTGCAATTTTGCTATTAGATAGGTAAATGTGAAAATCTTCTAAATTGTTTAATATTTAGTGACAAAACAATGATAATAATTAATTGATTACTGTTTCAATATTAAATATTCAAAAACCTAAATTGTATATTACAATATTTTCTTCTCAATTCTCTTTTAAAATATTAACTTGTACCCAGATTAAATAACTTTTTGAACAGAACAAAACTTTTTGAAAAACAATTAATTTTTCAAAGTGATCTGTATTCATAGTAAAAAACAATATAAATGACTTACTCGGTAAAAGTCTAATAATTTGTTTGACTTCCTCTTCAAATCCAATCTCAAGTATTCTATCAGCTTCATCGATAACAAGACATTGCAAGTTTTTGTACAAGAAGTCCGGAGTGTTTTGTAAATGATCCAATAATCTACCAGGTGTTGCTACCAAAATGTTTATTCCTGAAAATTTCTGTATGATTACTAACATCTCTATGTATTTCATGACACAATCTTATCCAGTTCCCAAACTTTTACAGAAAAAATGGTTGGACATCCTTGAAACTAGTATTTATATTCTAGATAAACATTCTAGAATATGCTTAACTTTAAGCCACTTAATAAAATTTTGGAGAAATGGACAGTAAGTGAGTCAATTAGTGAAAAGCACTCAAAACTTTATAACATAGTGTAATAAATATATTTTATTTAGATCTGTTAACATTTTCTTTTAAATGTGTATGTGTGTATGCCAAAACAATATTATTATAATTGGAGGATCTACCTGAGGCAAAATGGATAACTTCTTTAATAACACCAAATAAAACGGACAAGTGTAACAAAGTATTTTGTTACAAATAATAGTCTTGAAACACATACAAGTACATATAGTATACTATAATTATAAATTTAAAAGAAATTGTATTAGTAAATAATCTATTATGAAATTCTCCAGAAAATATTGATGTTACTGAAAATTTTCATCTATTGTAAGATTTTTACCCTTTGAAAGTTTTTGTGCTTCCGTACTTCTATTCGCTCCGCCCATAACCAAACCATAAGTGTGATGATGGTATTTCATTAATTCCATTAAGACACCAAAAGTTTGCATTGATAACTCTCTTGTTGGTGATAAAATAATAACTCCAGTACCTTAAAAATTACTACATTGAGAAAGTGAAATTAAAATAACTGTCGGGTTAAAAAAAATGAAAATTCAGATATCCATTCTGTGTTCATAAAATGACTCTGACAAACTCTTGTCTATTAAAACAATACTAAAAGTGCCTCAACAGTTGACTGGAAGCGCAAATATTATTGTTTCAATAAAGGGAGCATGGAGTAGAATTTTCACATTCGCCTTTTTATCATCATAAGTATTTACAAACTTCATTTTAAGAAGTATTATCATAACGTAACAGTTGCGCATAACTGCATCTGCTGGTTGATCTTTGATTCCAAGTCTTCTAATAATGGGCAACTTTTATGTTAGCATTTAACATCATAGGCATGAGCTTGTTTATAATAGAACTGAAATGTCTTTCTGTCTTACCATTCCTGGGTTTAAACTTCAATTTGTATATTAATTCAATTACTGGTATCAAAAATGCCAGTGTTTTTCCTGATCCTGTTCTAGCCGCTCCTACTAAATCTCTTCCTTCCAATAATGGAGGAATTGCTTTAGCCTGAATTTCTGTCATAGTTGTAAATCCCATGTCTTTGATCCCCATAAGTGTTGGTTCACAAACTTTATCCTCTAAGGATGTAAACTTTTGATCTGATAATATCCCCAAACATAAGCTGGAGCCTGGTACTGAAATTATTAAGAAATTGATTAGTGGACTAATTTGTTTAAATAATACAAATTGCATGTGTTATATGCACTTAAATATGGTTTAGTTTAGTATTAATTTTTTTTAGTTATAGTTTTTTTTTTACATTTCTAACAATTCCAGGAATGGTATGCAACTTTGTGTTAACCATTTTTTAATAAGTTAATTAACCAAAATTGTATAACAGGTGTATTTTTATCATTTAAGAATTTATATTATATTATCATATAGAAAACATGTTGACAAGTATGGTATGTTGTACAAACTGCTGGGATGTAAAGACAGTCAAGACAAATAGACAAATCCTAAAGAAGCCTAGGCAAGATGGCATTGCACCACCAGTTTTGCTTCTTGAAATTATGGTTAGGTTATTTAATTTAAAATAACAATCTGTAAAGGTTGTTTAGTTCAATCAATAATATTTTTATTTTTACAATATTGTCTATGGTGTTTACAATAGTCTTTTCAGTCAACAAACAAGTTGTAAAACTTACACTGACTCTCCTCATTTTTCTTGTCATCATTTCGTACACCATTATTTACTTCATTGTCTGAATCAATATCTGACTCTTCTTCTTTTATTTCTACTTCATTTGTTTCTGTTTTTATTTCATTCTTGTGCTTATTTTTCTTTTTTTCTATAAAAAATAATATAAAGAGGGTTATATAATTTTAATATAATATTGCTAAGAATAAAAATTCTATAGGTTTTTTTTAAATCTAATTATGTTAGGGGGTCAAAATACGTGAGGTTTTAATGGGGGAGGGGGTCGAGTCAAATCTCATTAATCTTTTAGAGGGGGGGTCTCGGCAAATATCACGCAATTTTGATTGAAAAAACTTAGCAACGGTGACGCCAATTGATCTTCCCGCTAACTCCTACTAGCTCAACATTTCCTTATTTGTTTTTCGTAAATAAAAGGACGAAGCATTTTTTTTTCTTTTACAATAACAATCCAAGTTTAGTAAGAAATCCATTTTGAAAATCTAGTTTGGGTTGGGGAGGGGGTTATAAAATCTAGACATCTACAGGGGAGGGAGTAAAAATTAAAAAACACCTCACGTAATTTATGGGAGGCCCCTTACATAAAATTATGGAAAGAATTCCAAGGAGTACTTGTTTCAATGAGTTTTTACATAACCCTTATATTTCTTTTTAATTTTAGAGTCAGAATTTATAAAAATATAATATAATTAATAAAACACTATTTTGACCGGATTGAAGTTATGTATTTTATAAAAGTGGTCACTGTGACCACGCACGCTGTAAAGCACGCGAAACGTCGGATAAATTTAAAATTATGTTAAATAGTTGTAAATTTATAATAATACATAACTTCAATCCGGTCAAAATAGTGTTTTATTAAATGAATAAAAGTTATGTTAATCAAAGACAATACTATATTAATATAGTATGTCAAGTTTAACCAGCTTAATTTTACACACTTACTTTTTGGTATTGATTCAGAATTGTTTGATGGTGTTTCCAAGGATCTTTTGACGGCTTCAATAGGTGATTCATCTGATGGTATTACTTCTAAAAACAGTAATTTAAAACTCTTAAGAAATAAAACTTGAGAAGTGTGGTCACTAACCCGTACTGTATCTGATATTAACAATTACAAGATAGCAAGCATAATTTACATACAATATTTCTATATTTATATAGGTCTACTTTATCGCTATAACAAAATATCTTTATGACGAAAAATAATACTTAATAAATAATGCTTAGGTTACCTTTTGTGATGTCGTTATTTGATTTTTTTGCAGTAAGTTTCACCTTCTTCTTTTCCCTTTTTTTAATTTTCCTCATTAAGATTTTATCTGGCATGGGCATCTTAAATCTGTATTGATTAACACTTAAAGAAATTAATAGACGGAATAGAGATAACCATGTGCTATATATTAAAAAAGTATTGTAAATTGTTAACAATAACCGTGTTGATATATTCACGTCACACGTGGGTTTAACTTTAATCTTGACTTTGAAGTTTGAAGCAAAGGATTGTTTTTTTTAATTTTTTGCCCTGGAGCCTTAGACCAGACGCCTTAACAGTAGTGTATGTAGAAAGTCGAAAACTAAATTTGTATGGAAATGATAGTTCGTGTCGAAAAGTTTTCATACAAATTTAGTAGTATTAACGAGACCAAGCCAGCATAGGTTTGCAGTTAATGACATTAGACAATTACTTTAAACTATGTAAAGAAAATTAAATAAGCTCATCACCTACTATATCTATGCATAATATTATATATATATTAGTATGGTCGAAAGACTTTAGTCTGCGCCATGGGCGAAAAAAGTAAATATTATACATACATTGTTTTTGTTTATTAATAATTTTACTTTTGAAATTCAATAAAGTGATCCAATTGTAGATTTTTAATGTTTAAATTATTATTTAGCATTGCTTATACAGGCAACTTTATGTAATAAATATTGTATTCCTTGGTAAACATAACCTTGGCGCCGTAATGAGTAAACCAAACAAAAATTCAAAGTTTAAAGAATTAAATGTAACCAAAGAAACATATAAAGCTATTAAAAATGTAGGTTTTAAATATATGACAGAAATTCAAGCTGAAGTTTTACCCAAAGCATTAGATGGAACTGATATTGTAGCAACTGCAAAAACTGGTTCTGGAAAAACTCTATCATTCCTAATTCCTGCTGTGGAATTAGTAGCCAAGCTTTTAAATGAAGGTAATGTGTATATAAAAGTTAACGGAAGTATAAAAACATCAGCAGCGCTACAACCTTTTTAGGTCTGGGCCTCAGATTTCTAAGTGACAGACAAGTAACAGACAATTCATATAGGCAAGTAGGTGCTCAGCTTCCTGTGCCTAAAACACGCAGTCTTGTTGGGTCAAAAGCAAGCCGGCAAAGGTTTGTCTATGGCTTCAGCATCTCTCATCCGTGAGGTTGTATCCAGCTGGCACCAAATGGACTTTATTATGTGCACATTAATCATTTGCTCCAACAATGGTAAAAGAAAACAAAAAGGTTAAATTAAAACCAGTACTTTCTAGGATTAGCACATATAACTTAAAAGCTCCTCAACTTACAAAACTATATTAGATCTGTTTTTTTAATTTTCAGCACCATCAACCTATTGTATTATTGTATCACCTACTAGAGAATTGGCAACACAAACATATAATGTTTTACAAGATCTTGTCTGTTTTCATGAAGGAATTACTTCTGCCTTAATAATAGGTGGAGAAAATAGAAAAGCACAGAGCATACTTTTAGCTGACAGTAAGTAGTTATTATATTTAAAGTACATACTCAGAAAAACAAAATAATGTTAAGTTAAGTTAAATAGTATAAACAAGACATGAATACATGCTTTGGTTGTTCAGAAATTAGTTTTATTTTCTATGTAAAATCTGAGAACTTAGGCAGCAAAAACACTTTTCTTAATTTTAAAGATTTCCAAATCTTTATTTTAGTTTTTGTGTAAATAGTTTTGGTTTAAGATTTAAAAATGATGTGTTTCAGATGTACATATAGTAGTAGCTACACCAGGTAGACTCTTTGATCACATGAGAACAAAAGAATTTGATTATAAAAATGTCTCCTGTCTTATATTAGATGAGGCAGATAAGATATTTCAATATGGCTTTGAAGAGGATTTAAAACAAATTATTAATAGACTCCCGAGTAAGTTTAAATTATTATTATTACATTTTCATAAAATCATATTCCATAAGAATTTACTTGGATATGCAGGCGATGTTTTATTTATATGTTGGATTGAAATTATCTTTTTAAGATCTTGCTTGATCTTGCAACAACTTTTGGTACATAAAAATCCAATCCCATCATTTATTAATATGTTAAAATGTTTTGACATATTAATAAATATATATAATAATATTTATGGAGGAAAATTACTAGTGTTGTAGTGTGACATTTTATTTAAAATTCTACAGTGTTATAATAAAGTAATATTTTGTATTGAAAAAGAAAAAAAATATGTACTGCCTCTGTCTCAACTGGGTAATGGGTAATACATGTTTGGTTTTCAAAATCATTGTAGTATTAACATATATTGCAATTCCAAAATTTGATTTCAGAGAATAGACAAACTATGCTATTCAGTGCTACTCTGTCCGATACAACTGAGGCCTTAATTAAATCTGCTATGAGAGAAGATTATTACTCTATTAACACAGATGAAGACAATGATAGGGCTACAGTAGAAGGACTTAAACAAGGGTATGTTAATATATAATAGGGGGTTGATAAATTTCTGCATCTGTTTATTTATTCGGTAGATTGTAATCTATCGAAGTGAAACCGTCAAATTGTGAAACGGAACGCACCTCGCACGCTGATTGGTTGAACGGCATACATTCGACAACAAACGAATTAACAAACAAATATGGTGGCGCGGGGCATATGCCGTTTTGACAGTTCACAATCTCGCGAGATAGATTACAACCTAACGGTATTTACAATTTTACATATAGATTTTACCCACCCAATCTATCAATCAAACCTACCCACCCAATTAGGCATAATAAAAAAAAAAGGTGCGTGTACTTATGTACGTGCGTAAGAAGTTATACTTTTTTGGCTTTCGTTATTTTTTTAAAATATTAAATAATTAATAACAAATATTTAACGTTAATAATTTAATAATTTAATAATATTTAATATTTAGTATATTATTCAATTATTAATTAATATTAATAATAATAATTATTATTATTTATTATTTTATTATATTATTCATTCAATTTAATAACTACGTATGTTTCATAACCTTTTAACTAAGTAACAATAGGTCTTTGTGAAAAAGCATTGCTAAATTTCTTTGAAAAAATAATAAAAACTCCTTTATTTGTTTAAAAGGTAAATGTCATTATGCTCATTAAAAATTCTTGGCATTGCAACTTCACGCATATTCTATTTCTTTTTACTTGTAGATTGTCTTATTCCCATCTCGCTCGCGCACGCTATAATCACACTGACAACTTTGTGTCTCAGGTGCGCGCGCATCGTAAAATTTCACTCTCATCAATTTTTCATAACGCGCCTAAAGAAGTATAACTTCAAAAAAAGAAGTGCGTGTACTTATGTACGCGCGTAAGAAGTTATACTTCTTTGGCATTATTAAAAATAGTTTTTGATTGCATGCAAATAATTAATTACAATTAAATAATCAAAGACTGGAAAAGGAGTCATTAAAGTCAATAAAGTTCAGTTTACATTTGAAAAATTAATTAAATAAATATTTATTATTATTCTCTTACATTAAACAAATAAAACACTATTTATCTTTAAAACATTTTTATTTCATAATATTTATTTTTAAGTGACTCTAATGTCTTCATCAGATTTCGTTTGTAATTTTAAATTAATCATTACTTGTTGTGATTAGAGGCTTCTCCAAAACTACTTGCTTTCTGCAAAAATAAGAGAATATTAATTTAAGCTCTGTCCATGCAAAACTTAAAATTTTTTATAATTCATATTATAAATTTTTAACACATTTATATTAATATAATTATATAAATGTGTTAATAATATAATTTGTAGACATGCTACAGACCTGGATAGCAACTTTTTTTATTCTATTTAGAGATAGAGATAATTTAAATATAATACCGGTGTCTTCCTTGTAGGTTTTTTGGAGTTGTTTGGGGATTCTTGTTGTTCAGTTGACATGATTTTCTTTAACCTTTCTTTAATCCTACAAAATAATGAAATTGTAGTATGTTGTCACTTTGGCACACCTTTGTTTGGCTTTTTAGTATTCAAGTTATGTCAAAACTGATTATTACCTTGTAGGTTTATTGCTTGGGATACAATTTCCAAAATGATTTTATTTGTAATAACCTGAAATATATAAATAACATCTATTAATTTAAGTATCATGGTAGTGGTTCGCATCAGGTCTTAAGGTGTATTATACCCACTGTCCATTATAAGTGGGAATGGGCTCACTTCTGGCAGGACAGAGTTTCGGTACTACAAGTGCAAATGGATGTTTTGAGGTATTACAATATCTCTAACTACCCTGTAGGGGAATAAAGTAATGTTGTAAGCATATGCCTATGCTTGAAAGGTTGAACCTTGAACATCACCATACATCATATTTATAATTAAATTCCTACCTCGACACCATCACAATCAAATTCATTGAAATCTACTTCAAACCATTGTGAGAAGGTGATGGTGGCTTTGTTCCACCTCCAGTTTTTGATTTTCACGGCGAAAGATACAACTCTTTTTGTATTCAATTTAGAGCACTTCCACTGATTCATCAATTTTTTGTCTCTTGTCCTTATATTTGCTAGATTAAATGATTTTTGATTAAATAATGTGGTCATTTTTTTGAATGAGGTACTTATTAAAATGTTTACTTTAAGCTCCAACTCATCTCCTTATATATTCGTGCTAATTTTTCAATTATTGAATATAGGGTCAGAATATTTCTAAAAAGTTGCTGTAACAAACGCAATAAACAAAAGCAATGAAAATTTCATCAGTTTTAATCAACAATAATACTCGATAATACATACGGATAGTTAACCTCAATTGTATTGAAGCACTCAGGAAGGTTAGCACAGTTTTTTCACAAAATTTTATATTATTTCACAAATATTTTGTATAATGAAAATAACTAGGTATATAATTATTAATTTTAAACAATAATTAAAACTCCTATATTTGTTTAAAAGGTAAATGTCATTGTCAGATTCAATTGATGATCAAAATTCTTGTTAAGTTGTTAATGCGTGAAGTTAGCTTCAGCATATTCTATTTCTTTACTTGTAGTTTGTCTTATTCCCATCTCGCTCGCGAGCTATATCACATGCCAATTTTGTGTCATAGGTGCGCGAATGTAAAATTTCACTCTCCATTTTTCATAGGCTAAAGAAGTATAACTTCAAAAATAGCCAGTCTTCAGAAATCTGTCTAAACCTACTGCATGAATTTGGTATAATTATTATTCTCATAAATATAGATTGGCAGGCAAGGCATTGTTAGGGGTTTGTGTAGAAAGTGTAAAAAATTACTAAAATTTAGATTAGTAAAGAAAACTGGTTTAATTTCAGGTATGCAATATGTGAAACAGAGTATAGACTTTATTGGTTACATAAATTGTTGAAGAAGACGCTAAATCAGAAAATAATGGTGTTTTTTTCAAGCTGTAAATCGGTTGTGTTTCATCATGAGTTTTTGTCAAAATATTGCAGCATGTCAGTTCTTTGTATACATGTAAGTTAATTTTGTGTTTAATTCCATTTTAATACTTAATTAATGTTTCAAAGAAATCATATTAATTTATACACAATTTATCATTCAATCATTCATTTCAAATCAATCAATCTCCACCTCTTATAACCAGCTGTCAGTAGAGGTATTTCCGAACCGATACAACTTAGGGGCCTTCATGAAAAGAGCGTACAACACACCCGCTAGCCCCCGGTGTTTCAGGTGTCCATTTGCGGCGGTTATCACTTTATTCAAATTCGTCTGACTGCCGTTTGCCTCCGATGACGACGGCGGTATCACTTAACATCAGATGAGCCTTCTGCCCCTCTTCCCCCCTGTTCTATTAAAAAAATCTAAATAAATTTATTATTATCTAAGAATTAACGGTAAAATTATGAAATATGATTTTAAAACGAATGGCGATATCCATACTTCTTTATCAAAATGTATTCTTGAGATGACAACCTACATTTTGCATATCGTAAGCAAGCTGTATGTATGGCATACGCCTTTTTGAAATTATCTGTGGTAAAATGCAAATAAGGGGTGAAACGTTTCGCGATTTGGCGCCATTTTTACGTAATAAAACGGAATATCTATGAATATCAAAAATACTTTCATTATGAGAATTATGATTGTAATATTCCGAATAGATTTTTTATTCACATATGAATTTTGACTGGAACATTAAACGCTTTCGTTTATTGATAATATTTATAGGGTAAAATGAACCAAGCAGATAGGACAAGTGTGATCTCGGAGTTCTACTGTGCTGATAAAATGGCATTATTCTGCACAGATTTGGCCGCCAGAGGTCTAGATATACCAGCTGTTGACTGGATAGTCCAGTTTGATCCTCCGGCTGATACTAATGTGAGTATTAAAGTATTAAAAACGTTCTTTTTTATAGAACAGGGGGCAAATACCGCCGTCCATGGACACTCTCAATGCTAGAGGGCTCGCGAGTGCGTTGCCGGCCTTTTACTTTTTTGTTGTACTACAGCCTAACTGACCTAGTGATTATAATTTAGTTTTTCTTCTAATCTTACATAACATTTATAATTTTAAAGATTGGAAGTAATGTTTTATTATTGATCCTTAAGTAATTATTATGCTTAGTTATTTTTCCGTAGAATCTGTATATTTATTTTTGTATATTTTATTATATTATTATTTTCTTAAGTCTGTAATTTTTTGTATTATTTGAATGTGTAGTGTTGAGTGGCTCTTCAGGACCAACGTTCAACCACTGAGTGGGTTTTTGATGCCTTAATTAATTTAGTTTAAACAATAAATAAAAAAATCGTTTCCTGCAACTTGTTTAAGCTCCTGTTTTTTATTTCTAGAAAATTGCGAGTGAATTTATTTATGTCTGTATTTTTTCCTTTTGAGCCAGTAAAAACGGTGAAAAGTAATTGTGACTTTGTCGAAACAATTAACAACCGGGAATTGAACCAACGACCACGACAATTGTATATATTTTAGGAATACATTCACCGAGTGGGAAGGACAGCTAGAGGTTTAGGCGCTGAAGGCCGAGCCGTGTTATTATTGAGACCAGAGGAAAAAGAATTCATAGAATATCTCAAAGAAGCGAAAGTCTTTTTAGACAAATACGAAACATGGGACAAATTTAGTAATTTACAACCAAAGGTTTGTATTTTTATCCCATTTTTTATTTAGACACATTAAAGTAACTTTTAAATAAAGCTTTTTATAAATTTGAGGAATACTTAAATGATCCTAATCCTTGGGATTGATTTGCTCCAGTTCAAACAATTTGTATGACAATACTTGGCGATTAAAAAGAGTGGCGGAAAGTTTCTTGACAGTTCTTCTTAACCGCTCTACGCCCTTGACTTGCGAACTGGTAGTAAATGTAAATTTACAATTAATGTAACTTCTTTCTGACAATTCCATAAGTGTACTTGCTTACCTACATGAATAAAGATATTTTGAGTTTGAGTTTAACGAAATATAAAATAGGAAGTTTCTTTGTTTAGGCGATGTTGTTATATCAGTTTGATATCGTTTATAGAAAAAATTGTGTATTGTAAATTGGACACAAAAAAAACCATTTTCTTGGTCCTTGTCGCTGGTGTTTATGGACTTTATATGTTTGTAGTCTTTCTTTCTTACTAGGAAAACTGTAAATAGGTTAACAAATTTTTAATTATTTCAGCTGAACGAAGCATTACAAGATCCAGATTTTCACGAAATGGCGGTGGAAGCATTTCAGGGGTACATAAGGGCATTCGAAGTGAAAAAATTAAAACATGTTTTTAACTTACTTAGTATGGACATGGACGCAGTCGCCAGATCTTTCGGTCTTAAGGAGAAACCGGACGTTGATATCCGTATGTATTATATACAATTTATACAAATGTAAAGAAATGATTATACAGTCAAAACCGTTTATAACGACATTGAAGGGACCGTATAGTTGCCGACGTTATATCCGATAGTCGTTATAAGCAATGTCATATACACAAGTACAGTACATATGTATGTACATAGTTTATCTAGAATAAGTAGGTATGGGTTATCATATGGTATGTTAATATTATAGTATGTAAACGAGTCAAAAAAGAAACAAAAATATTTACTACGAAATAATTAGGTACAAAAGTCATTTTGGTCGTTTTTTTTATAGCTCAGTCTCAAATATTTTTTGCATTTTATCCATATGACATGAGATTTTTCTTCAATAGAAAACACTTTTCTCTTTTTTTGCGACATGATAACACATAAATGCACAATTGCACAGTCTAAACAACACCAACACTTTTAAATCAAACTGTTACTCACGCAGTCAATTAGCGAACTGAACATATTGTGTAAAGTTTGCAAGGTCAAATGGCCGGGAAGAGGTGGGAGAAAGTGCGTAGTTAATAATATGCCTAAATATTCATTCAATGCTTATAAATAAGATTTAAAATCGTTTGTATTGTTTTGTTTTGCTGAGACAAGAAGCGGTTGGTCGTTATAGCCGATGAATATCGATAAAATTTAGTCGTTGTAAGCGATATGTCGCTGTATCCGATGTTGTTATAAGCGGTTTGCTTACTGAATAGTTTACTAGGGATTCGGACGGGACCATACAATCTGGTTGTAATAACCGATAGGTCGTTGTAAACGATGTCGTTATAAACGGTTTTGACTGTATATTACTTTAAAATATCATTCAAAAGATAGGAAAGATCAGATTGTTCATTCTGTTACTGAATCTCTATTTGAAATGGAGAGTAAGAGAAATTTCGAATCGGTATTGTGTTAGTGTGTGGGTTCTAGATGTGTTAAAATAATACATTGAAAACACTTAATAACAAACAATATCAAAGAAATTTACAAATAATATATAAAGTCAAAGTCAAAAATCATTTTTTCATATAGGTAATACAATGTACACTTATGAACGTCAAAATAGAAATATACATTAAATGCTTCTAATTTTATATTACTGCCAGTTCTCAAATCAAGGGCGTAGAACGGAAGAGAAGAACTGCAATAAACTCTCCGCTACTCTTTTTAATCGCTATATACATACTTCGGCTGCTGATGGATGGGACAGATCACGTTTTGTTGCCCTGTATCTGATGCATGATGCATGATGCATGCATGCAAGCATGATGGCTGTCTTAGCTTTATATTATAACTAGATGACCCGGTTAACTTTGTATCAACTACTTAAATTTGTGTGAAACTTAATACAAAATACCGGACCTCATACTAATTACAGCTATGAAACACAAATTTCTGAAGGCTTTGCATTCTGAAGATTTATATGACAAACAAGTCACAATTTTTGATTTCTAAAAAGACAAAAGACATCAAATATTTCCCGGTAACAGTTGTTATTGGAAAATTCAACTGTCGTTCAGTTTTGTTATTCAGTTATGTTACCCACCGTTAAAAAAAAACATTTCCTGAACTTCCACAAATATTTCTAAATAAGCTAAATCGGTCCAGCTATTCTCGAATGTTAGCGTGACAAACGAACAGCAATTCATTTTATATATAAATATTTATATATAGATAGATAAATACCTATATTTATTTAATTCTCTTACCTAATATTAATTATAAATGTACATATATATTACTTTATCATTTGTACGTTCTTATTCATATATCCTGAATGGATTGTTTTATTTTTACTATTACTTATTAAAGCTATTATTTTCAGAAAATTCGTAGCGTACTAGAAGTGTACTTAATTAATTTTTACTTAGTTAAATTTGCTGAACAAAAGTCAAATTAACAATGCTCAAAACAATAAATTTTTTTTATATTTAATTTTATCCTTCTTGTTTGAGATCCTCCAGAACAAAAAAACAAGAAAAATCAAGATGTCAAGGAAAAACAAAAAACCACTGAAAAACGAAAAATTGTTTCTTCGTTTTTCAGAAGAAAGCAAAACTCAAAACTCTTTATTGCCACACTTAATGTCAGAAGCCTAAAATCAACAGAGCGATTAATAGAGCTAGAACAAGCAGTATTTTATTATATTTTATTTTATTATATATTTATTTCGATATTTATTAGAAAGTTAGTGTAAATAAAAGTGAAATTCTGTTATTTAGTGATGATATAGGGAAAAATATTGGTACTAAATTATATCAGTCCTCCGGCAAAATTGTAACAAATCATTGTATGCCCGGAGCCACCCCTGTAACCATTTTCAACAAAGTCTTGTGTGGAAATTACACAAATAACACAACTTTAATATTGCTTTTTGGGAGAAGGGGAAATGTAGGACAAAATGAATTGTTGTCATTTATTGATAAATTGAAATCACTTAATGTAGAGAATATTGTCTTGCATACATTTCCTTACATCAAAGGTGCACCAAAGGAAAATAAAATTAGATATAAGTTAAACATGTTGTTGCACAATACGTTAACTACTAACAATATACAATTAAATTGTGACTTAGGTACACTACCTAATTTAATGGACATAAATTGTATATTTAAAAATAAGTATGTATTGACAAAGGATAGGTTCCGCCTACCTAATTATTATTTACAACAGATAGCTACTATGCTATCTTACTTTTTATTTACAACTAAAGCTAAACATTTAGCTTTTCAGACAACTGCTTCTATTGAGCAGCTAGCTTTTCAGGCAACTGCTTCTATTGAGCAGCTTAGCTTAAGTGAATGTAGTGATACTTGCAGTAGCACTTCATTAAGTATAAATAATTTAAATTAGATAGTGTGACAATAGAGGCAAACTCTAGCAATAATTTAGTACAACTCAGCTCAACACAAACATGTTATATTACTAACAACAACTGTTTAAACTTGATGCATCAAAACATGCAAGGTATGTTGGGCAAAGAATTAGAGTTGGAGTTGTTTTTAAAATCAAGTAAAATTGATGTCCTATGCATTACCGAACATTGGCTTAGAGAATGCCAAATCATCTTTAACTTTGATCAGCACCAAGTTGCAAGTTCGTTTTGCAGATTGTCGGCGATTCATGGGGGCTCTTTGATTATTGTTAATAAAAATTTAAAGTATAAAGAGCGTAATGACATCGTGTGTCTGTCTGTAGAACACTCTTTGGAAGTAGCCTGTATAGAGATTGAGAATTGCATTATTTTAAGTGTTTACAGACCACCAAGTGCATCTTACGATTTTTTTGAAGAAAAGTTGGAGGAAATTTTGTGTAAAGTTAGTTTTAAGAACAATAAGTATATTATTGTATGTGGTGACTTCAATATAAATTTATTAGAAAATACCTCCGTTAGTAAAAAAATCAATCTGTTATTAAAATCTTACAATCTTGTTAACTTGTTTCTTGAGCCCACTAGAATTACAAGCTCCACTGCTACATGTATAGATAATGTATTTACAGATGCAGAGGCAATGCAAACCTCAATTACAACTGATCTTAGCTCAGATCATTGTGGACAGTTAGTGGCGCTAAAATGTAAAGTGGTGAAACGAGTAAATAAGAGCAGTGTGTTTGTTCCAGTGAATAAAAAGCGAATGGTGAGATTTAGACATAATATAGGTAAACGCCTACCTTTATTACCGGTAGGTACTACCGTTGATACACAATACAACAATCTAAGTGATTGTATTAATAAAGAGTTCAACACCATCTTTACCCCAAAGAAAGTCTCTCATTCGCAGTGTAAATCGTTAGTGATTGGGCGACAGCGGGAATTTATAAAAGTAGACAACGGTTGTATGACCTTTACGCTGAAAAGTCATACAATCATAATGAAGAATTTATTCTTTATGTTCGAAATTATTCGAAATTATTTAAGAAAGTTTGTTACGCGGCCAAGTCCTTAAATATCAAAAACAAGATTAAAAATAGTACCAATAAAACTAAAATGACTTGGAAGATAATTGATAGTGAAACTGGAAGAGTCAGGGATCGCAATCAAGACATCGAACTATGTGTCGATAACACTATAATCAAATCTAACGAAGAGATAGCGATTGTTTTTGATAAGTACTTTTCTGACATTCCAATTTCGACTACTAAGTCTCTTCAATCATCTCCCGCCCTCGCCGAACCGCTGCTCAAAGATAATGTAAACGAGTGCAAGGTCAGTTTTTCATTCCGACCCATTGGTGCCGACGATATAGTGAGGATATTTAGAACCATAGATATTAAGAACACTACCGATCTTTGGGGTATTTCTGTAAAAATAATTAGTAGCATAATTGATGTAATTGCTCCCCATCTAGCTATAATTTTCAACAATTGTATTAAAAGTGGCGAGTTTCCCGATCTAATGAAACATAGTAAAGTTATTCCTTTATTTAAAGCAGGTAGTATGTCCGACCCCAGTAACTTTAGACCAATTTCCGTACTACCTACTTTTAGTAAAATATTTGAAAAAATTATATTAAATCAACTGGTAAGTCATTTTAACGTAAACAAATTATTACATAATAATCAGTTCAGTTTTACCAAGGGTCGCTCGACAGCCGATGCCGGTGTTGAGTTATATAGATATATAGTTAAGGCTTGGGAGGAGTCGCATGACGCTTTAGGTGTTTTCTGCGACTTATCCAAAGCATTTGATTGTGTCCAACACGAGACCTTAATCGGGAAACTCCGCCACTATGGCATCAAGAATACCGCACTGAATCTTCTGACTTCCTATTTACACGGAAGAACTCAGAAGGTTGAAGTGAATGGTAAGAGGTCCTCTGGGTCGGCAGTAGATATGGGGGTACCACAGGGCTCAATTATTGGCCCTTTCCTCTTTCTTGTTTATATAAATGATCTACCTTTCATGGTAGAGAGAAAACATCAGATAGTTTTGTTTGCTGATGACACGTCCTTGATTTTTAAAATCAAACGACAAATAACAAATTTTGACGATGTGAACAATGCTCTGTCTTCGATTGTCCATTGGTTTAGTATGAATAACCTTCTACTTAATGCAAAAAAGACAAAATGCATTAAATTTTGTGCAAAAAATGCAAGGGTTATGGATACTAGACCAATTATAAACGGTGAGGAATTGAATCTGGATGATACAACTGTATTTCTCGGAATCACCATGGATTCAAAACTTCAGTGGTCCCCTCATATTAACGGATTGGCGAAGAGACTTAGTTCTGCAGCCTACGCGGTTAAAAAAATTCGCTCACTAACTGATGTCGATACAGCTAGACTTGTTTATTTTAGTTACTTTCATAGCTTAATGACTTATGGCTTATTATTATGGGGTCATGCTGCTGATGTCGAAACTATTTTCATATAGTAATCTAATAATAATGGGAGATTTTAATAGTCAACTCGGAAAATACACAGAAAAATAAAAAGGAATCATGGGCCCACACAGCTTTGGTAAAAAGAATGAGAATGGAAATAGATTGATAAACTTTGCATTTGAATTTAATCTAACGATTACAAACACTTTATTAAAAAAAACAAAAACAGAAAATGGACTTGTAGAGTAGAATCACACATAAATTAAATGAATCTCAACCAAGAGAACAAGCTGGATTTCGAAAAAAAACTTCTCATCATTAGACCACATACATGTAATAAAACAACTTGATAAAAAATGTAATGAATACAACCAACCATATTATACAGGTTTCGTAAACTACATGAAAGCATTGGACTCGATCAAACATGAATATCTCTGAATTGCACTAAAAAAACAGGAAATCAATAACAAATATATAAATATTATTAAAAAAATCTACAAAAATATTACTGCAAAAGTAAAACTGGAAAGAGTAGGAGAAGAATTCCAAGTAAATAAAAGCGTGAGACAAGGAGATCCACTATCACCGAAACTATTTTCCGCAGTGTTGGAACAAATCTTCCGTAAATTAGATTGGGACACGCAAGGCATAAACTACATCACCTAAGATTTTCGGCTAACCTAATCATAACAGCTGAAGATCCAATAACATTACAAAAATGTTTCAAGATTTAGCCCAAGAAAGTGCAGTGGTGGGCTTAAAAATAAACACAAACGAAACTAAAATAATCAGTAACAGGGCGCATGAAAAGATAGAAGTAGATCAAAAAGTAATCGAATACGTAACTGAATATACATATCTAGGACAAATTATATCCCCCAAGAACATGACGGATAAAGAAGTACAACAAAGAGTAGCAAGTACATGGAAAAGATACTGGTCCCTGAAAGGTATTATGAAAAATGACGAAATACCTCAGAGACTTAAAATCAAAGTTTTTGATATATGCATTAAACCTTGCCTGACTTACGGATGCCAAACATGGTCAATAGCACAAAAAAATATACAAAAATTGAGAGTGTGCCAGCAAGGGATTGAACGAAGCATGTTAAAAATCAAAAGACGGCAAAGAGTAAGTCTAGTGAAAATAAGAAATAGGCCGACACTAGAAAATATAGAATACAGTGTGAAACTATTAAAATGGCGATGGGCAGGCCATACGCTAAGAGATAATACAGGTAAATGGACTAAAGATATTATAGAATGGTATCCAAGACAAGGCAAAACAAACCGAGGCAGACCATTGATCCGATGGGAAGACGATCTTAAAAAAGTAGCAGGCCCACTATGGAGAAGAACTGCCCAAGACGTAATACTATGGAATAATCTGGAGGAGGCCTATGGCGGAAGACAAGCAAACACCGAGGAAGATTGAGTAAATTAATTATAATATTAAATATGTAAATATAATATTAATTGCTCGTTGTGGTGGTTACTGTTATTAAAATTAAGAAGCAAGAGAAAGCGTGTATAGACAATACATTTATTCAGAATGAGACATGAAAGTGGTAGATTGATTATGTATTCTAAGAAATCATCGGTCAATATAGAAACTTTATGAGAATGGCTTTGACTATATTTGCCGACTAATCTAGATTGATTAGTCGTTCGTTGGACCTTTAAGGCAGCGACTGGCCGACTGATTTTAATGTATCAATTAAAAGAGATTCGCCAAAAAACCAACAGACGAGTGTACTGACATCCCGAATATTCGACTTGGAACGAGCTCACAGCAAGCGGAAATTCAATGTCAGTCGCCACCTTAAGATTTAGTTATTAGGTGTAAGAACTTGGTTGTTTGAAATAAAGGCGTCATTCATTCTTCTTTGTTCTGGAAGGAACCAGCGTTTAAGATACAGGCTAGGCCTAGTTTAAACGCTAGTGCACATAGAATTATTTTATGTACGAGGTTAACCAAAATTAATAGTGAGAACACAACGTATGTTTATAACCTTTAGAATGTAAGTCCAAAATGTAATTGTTTTTTTCGTCAAATAAAGTGATTTTTATTTATTTTTATTCATAAATTAAGACCCCCGGCTCCAGAAGATAAACTACTCCTTATATGGAAATTGTATTCATTTTTCTCCCAAGTGAAATTAGAGAATTATCACTAAATAAATTCAAAGCTTTCGTTAAACGAAACGTTCGAATTTGATGAATATTTAAATGATTCTTATCCTTGGGATTGATTTGCTCCAGTTCAAACAATTTGTATGACTCAAAACTTAGCGCTTAAAAAGAGTGGCGGAGTTTCTTCTTGCCCGCTCTACGCCCTTGACTTGCGAACTTCTAGTAAATTTAACATCTTTTCTGTTGACGTTCATAAGTGTACTTGTTTACCTATATGAATAAAGTTATTTTGAGTTTAAGCTTAATTGGGTTCTTTAGTGTAAATAGTTAACTTACGCTCGCCATCGAGAAGAACCGCTTATACCGGGGAAGATTAACTTATTCTGAATTTGTTTTTGCTACTTGTAGAATCTTTTTTAATTTGTTAGTCGTAAGTGAAGTGGGCAGAAACTGCTTGCTAACAATTTGTAGTCAAAATTTTTATTTACATTTTTAACTTATGCCATTTACTTTTACAGGTGTTGGTTTTAGTAAAAAGCATAGACCAAGGAAAAGAAAGGCGGCAACTACCATTGTTCCAGAGAAACTAAAAAAGTGAACTGTATATTGTTACTGTAAATAAAACAATGTTTATATATAAATTGTTTAATTTTACATAAGTAGACTTAATTAGTGGGAAAATAATATAACAAATAGGTTTGAGACTAGAAATGGTATACAGGTGTAGTCCCAGGAAATATCAAAGCAAAAATAATAAGAATATTTGACTTTGTCGCGATTGATAAACCGTGTTTTAATTTAATAACAATGACGGTAATGGAGGATTTGGTAGATTAGAATTATAAACTATTTTAATAAAAATATTATGGACTGGAAAAACAAGGCAATTCTAAAGCGGGCCATAGACGGACCGCATGTTGCAGCCGATACCGACTGCTGTAAGCGGTCGCCGCACGGCGATCTGCAGTTTCCATACTAAATTTATATTCGCAATACACGGACCGCTCGAGCAGTTCCTGAGCAAACCGCATATTGCAGTCGGTCTTGACTGCAACATGCGGTCCGTCTATGGCCCGCTTAAGCATCAAATTCGATATGCAGCATGTCTAGTACAAATACACCTGTATAGAGAATTAACTTACAATGTAATACAATATTCTTAACTTGTTATACAGTATGTTGGAATTACAAATAATAATTTGGAAATTGGTTTTTTTAATAAAAATTTAGCATAATTAGTTTTTACTAATTAGCTCCAAGTTGTGTTAAAAATAATATGATCCTGAAGTTATACATTATTCTTAATGTAAGTATATACAGCTTAGAATCAAAATAGGAACTTTACACATTTGAAATTGTATTAAACAATAGATTTTTTTAGTTTTGTTTAGTCTGTATACGTTTTTAATAAAAAAATTAATTCAAAATCCTATTCTATTTGTTTCGCTTTATATGTAAACAAAAAGGTTATATTTTCTTAATACCAATGTTTTATATATGGTACGAATACAATAAAAAAATACTACAAAAGTATCAAAACTACTATTTTGCAGTATCCATTTCATAGACATTATTTCTTACAAGTTTTTCGTAACAATCTTCATGGTTATGTTGATGATTCACTGCATATATCATGGCATCTATAGTTTCAACTGTAGCTGGACATCTATTTAGTGAAAAGTATTGCACACATCTCCATGAAGTTTTTCCATGAGTCGTTGAATGTTTTGTATACACAAAGTTCATATGCACTAATTGTTTGTGTCCTTTTCTACTGTAAATGTATTTATATCGCACTGGTAGTTGACTGTCAGATCCATTGACTACTAGAGATAATGCATCTGTAAGATAAACATGCAGCAGATTTAAAAAAAATATGAACCGTGAATAAATTGAGGAATAAAAAAATTACTCAAATATTTTTAATTTTTTATTTATCAAAATATGGATATAAAACACATCAAAATGTATAAAAATCACACAAATAACTTAGCCCTATGCTCACATAAATTTTTATAATACTAATTTCATGGAATGTTATTTTTTAAAACACAATCACAAATTGCCAAATAATCCGAATTGGAGATCTAAATGTAAAATAAGCTCACACAACTCACACATAGTCGAATAATACAAGAAAAATATGATACAAAAATTAAGACTAGAATATGAGCAAAAAGAAAGTCTCATGAAAATATGGCAAAGGAATGGCACCAACTAAAAAGGTATGTATGTATATTGGCACACAAAAGCCGTCTTATATCACAGCTTATTTTAATAGCTTATAGGTTTACATTTAATGTATATGTACTTAATCTTATATGTGTATATAATGTACTTTGTAAATGAATTTTTAAATGGTTGTATGAAAATATATATTTATGATTTAATTTGGTCCCAAATATATTGAATCTTTGATTCTTTATATGTGCTTTTGTATCACTTGTTAATAAGCTTCTCTTATAAAAAATAGTAAATTTAATGAGTAATTGCATCAATTAGCATAATAATCTCCTGGAAATTTTGATACTTTATAAACATCATTCATATGAATTTCAAAGCATGGTGATTTACAAAATGGTAGTTCACAAGCACTACACATGAATCTTGTGTCTCGACGTTTTCCTATACGCCAACAAAGACGACAAGACCGCTGTGGATATTTCTTCTTCCCATCTTCTTTTTGGGGTATTGTTACAAGTTGGTGGTCTAGCCCTGGCCTTGCATACTCTTCATAAACAGGTTTTACCATTGATTTTGGTACTTTCCCATTCACTAAATGTCTAAGATCCATAAAAAATGCACTGAGACCGGCACAATCTGAAATCACGATGGGCATTTTCAAATGACTTTATATTAATAATATTTGATAATGTTGAAAATGCCATCGTGTTTTCAATGAAAGATTTGCAAAAAAGAAAATAATGCAACACATTTAATGAAAAAAATTAATTGCATTTTCAACACAATCTATTTACAGAAGCAATAAAGATGAAAAGTAAATGTATATGTTAATATCATCTAACGGGTTAAGGGCAGAAAGAGATGATTATTTCGTTTTGGTAAAATATAATTATTAGAATTAAAAGTTCCAGAAACCCATGAAATGATATGTATGTATTATGAAATCGGCCTGAAATGTGCCATTTTAACCAGATTTAAATATACTTACTGTCTTGTGGTGTCTGCAAGTCTAATGGCATCATCAAGTTTTTCTTCGTTTCCGATGTATCATGGGATGTGCAAACAGCTGGATCTGATACTATAATATCACTGTCATCACATTCAGTCTTAAGCTCAACAGAATTATCTGGAACATTTTGAGTATAATTTTGTTCAATCACATTTTTATTTGGGCTTTGTATATTTGGATTTATTGAAGTGGTTATGTCAACAGGATTTTCATCATAAATTTTTTTCAAATTCTTTTCAAAAGCTATACTTCGTGTAGATATTTCATTTAACTTTTGTCTCTTTTCTGCATTAAGTATATCACCATAATAGTTTGTTCTTAGAAGCTCTTCTGATTTTCTTTTTAGTTCACTGATTTGCTGCAGTTTACCAAGTAAATTTCTTTGTTTAAATATATCTATATCATAAGTTTCTGGGGTATCATTTGGAGATGAATCATACATATCTGAGGCACATGATTCGGAGTTAGGATTATCATTATGAGTATCTAAATTTGTTTTAGGTTCCTTATCAGTCTCTAAAACATCTTCAGTCTAAAATCAAATAACAAATGTTTATTAAACTCGAAAAATTCATGTTACAAAAAAATTATGGGTCAAAACACAATAATTCTACTAACCTCTTTATTGGTTAATCCTTTGATTTGCAAAATTTCAGCTGTTCCAATAAAACTAGTGAGATCTTCTCTCTTAACGCTAACTTCACCATGATACATGAATTGTAACAAATCTCTCATAGCTTTGTGTGTGACATCCCTCAAAACAACTGAAAATTATTTTTGTTGTTAGTATTTTACATGCCAACCCAACCCCATGTAATATCTACTGCCTATCTATTAATAGAAACTGCTAAACTTAATTTCATAAGAATTCTTGACAGTGTAATAAATACAACTAAATAATAATACTAAACTTCCAAGAATGGACATTAATTGACAACAATTATTAAAATTTCAAAACTGTAAAAATTAATGCAATAATTTTTTTTTACATACGAACCAAAATACATAAATAAAACACTTTACCAATTGGATGTTGACATGGATTTAATTGAAACATTTTCTTGAAGTAAGGTGAACATATTGACAGGATAACTTTGTGAGCTTGCAGCAAGTGACCGTCAACAGCAATCGTCACATCAACGAATTCACCATTGCCCAACAGTCCTGCGAAACCCTTGCTCAAGTTTCCGTGAAAATTATTCCAAGACAATGAGAATTGTTGCTCCATTTTGTTTACTAATATCTTAACAGCACATTACATGATAAACTTTCGATTTTAAAGGTAAATTAAGCATAACTATATAACCTGTATACCAGCTAATTTGAAGGAATTTGCGTTTTGTTTTATTTTTTATAACTTTAGTGACCCTTTTACAAAATCCAATTCCAATTAATAATAAAAAAAAAAACATGGGTACGCCAAGTTGACAACTGCCAGTTTAGATTTCGACGGATGGCAGCGATATTGTCATGCTTGACCATGACAGTATTATTATTTAGAATTTCAAACAGTTGGTGTTGCATACAACAAAATATTTTTTTAATATTGTATGGTTCAAATTGGTAATAGGCGCAGTGAAGTATATTTTTAGCATATATTACTCAGAAGGAATATGATAATCTTATTTAACAATAATTATTATGTATATCGGTTTTCAATTCACCTGTCAGAAGAGAGTGCCCGGTCCTTTAAAATGCTTTCATGGGACATTTCAAGCTCCGCTATTATGCTATAAGACGCAATAATAGACTTTTTAGAAATTATATTTTTTTAGTACGAAATCCCGTGGCAGAAGTACGCTTTTCAATGGACAAGGGACTCGCGAGTTATGTACGTTCCAATTTAATGGTTTTATTTATGAAAATGGTTCGAGAACAATAAAATGAAGTATAAGTCGTCGGAAATATCTGCGAACCTGGCTTAATGACGTCATACAAACTGGAGAGATAGCAAAAAAATTGAAGATGTAAAAATAAAAAATATTTTATTTGTGTATTATTTTTATTATCTCCACCCTTGAAATTTACAAATACTTATTATTTACATTATTTAAAATTCAAATTATTTAAAATTAAAAAAAAAAAAAAAAAAAAAAAAAAAAAGTGGAGAGGAAGAGAAAGTGGCGAAACTATTCTAGAAAAGCCTCGACACCAGACATGGTAGCGCTGTCGTTTTCGTCATCTTCTATATTATCACTCAAAATGTTGTCTTCGGTTTCGCTGTCACTGTCTTCTCCTCCTAATGAAATTATTAATTCGCGTTCTTCGTTATTAATCGCGTCGGCGATTGCGTTGGCAACGGTACTGGAAAAAAGGAAAAAAAAAGGGGGGGGGTGCGGGGAAGCGCCAGGGGAAGCGCATTCCAGCGAGGTTCGCAGATATTTCCGACGTATTATACCTAATGATACCAGGACACGTAGAAGCAAATACGCGGGTCTGTTTCTGCAAGAAAAAGATAATCATTTTCACGCGGTTACAGAAAAATACTTCTTCTTCTTCTTTCTACAAACTAACTAAAGTAACTGATAGTACCTTTTTAGTTAATAAAATTCGATGAACATGTATTAATACATACATAAAAATATTTAAACGAAACGCCTTTATTTCTACTGCATTATTCTAAGAACCGAACTATCTTGAGCTAAATAAAGACAAAACATCAGTTATCACCTTAGCGGCGTAGAGCCCTCAACTAACCAATATCTTCCTGGCTCTTGCTAAACCTGCCCATATCTTTCTATTGAAAACAAGACGTGTTGTTAAAATAATTATTGTTTTGAGTGGTTAAACATGCATTCAATTTCCGCCTGTATGACAGTCGACTTGCATTTCTTTGCCCGCAAAGTTAGTGTAAGATGTCCATCTGCGCCAAAACGCCAATTAATTAAGCTTTATAAGAGCTCAGTCACCCTGTTTCCTTAGATAGCCGAATCATGACAGGGCACTTTTAATTTTCTGGTGTCACGAGTTATTGCGATAAGGCGTCCTTTTCACCCCTCCCCAGTCCGAGCGAAAGTATGCAGTGAATAGCCTTCTTATTAAAAACTGTGGAAAACTTTCATCTCAAATATTTTTTGTGTTCTGTAATTATCTACGCTTAACGCATTTTTAATTTTATTTCAATTACCACAGATTAAAATTTGAACTTGGTACTTATAAATGTTGCAAATTATAAATGTTTTTGGGTAGAACTGTAAACTTCTTTCGTAAACGTAACGTTAGCTAAATATATAGGACTTGATTTAGAAATAAAAATAAAAAAATGAACTATTTAAACCAATAGGTATTAACTGGTTCATTTTCGTATAAGTTCCATATTACAGCCTGTATACAAACGAGTCTTTAACTGAAAGCTATTGTATTTTTATATATCTACATATAAAACACAACTTATATATAGGCGCATAAAATTTTCAATTTTCGTAATAACACAACGCTGGCGGAAGGTGCAGCTTTTTATAAATATTCAGCGGTCCAACGTGCGAGTCTTGGAATAAGAATAAGAAACGAGGTTTAGCACTAAGTCTGACCTTGTACTTGACCCGTACTTCGAAAATGTTGACTTTGACTCCCCAGTCATACTTCGCGCTAAGACTCGATTCTCATTCTCCCCTTTAGCCCTGTGTTCGTTTTTCGAACACCGGCTTTGCACCAACGGTTGTTTTTTTAATTATCACTTGGTTGGTCACTTGTACGGTGAAAGGAGATATCATAATGAAACCAATGACTGAGATCTGAAGCCAAGAGAACGGCACTGGATTATTATTCTTTAGTAATACACAACTTTTATTTATTTATTTATATCAGAAATACAAAATATGTATATAAAAAAAGGAAGTATAATGTAATTTTTTTTTTCTGAATCTACTATACCCGATTCTTTGTGCCTACGGGCAAAGGCCTCCCCAATGTACAAAACTTTAATGTAATTTGATTCGGATCACACAAATACGATAAAACAAATATTGCCCTGCGTTGTCCAGTCTTAGTGGATACCGCGCTCATTCTGCTGGTGACAGGTAATCAATAGTTTGCTAGTTTATTTGGCTATGGTTATCGGTTTACCGACATGTGTATCTACTCGATATAATCGACGACAGGCCAAAATCGATGCGATTGTGAATCGGACCGTAATGTGGCTACGTTCTTATCGTTAGGAAAAACGGAAGAGATTTGTGCTCTGTATGTGATTAAGATCGGAATAAATGGGACTTTTTAGATTTGTGTTACGTGTGTTAGATAGATACAAACACTGTAATTAATATCGGAATTTCTCAGATTTGTATTACTGTAATATAAAAAAAAAAACGATAGAGAACGCACTCCCTTTGATATTATTGCAATATTATTTGTATATACGGATTAACAATAGTCGAGGTCCTGGCCCAATTGGTGTGTAAAAATTTTCTCTCACACTTTCGTTTAGCATTAAAGATAATGTGTAAATATTCTCTTCTAAACTTCCGAGAGAATCGGTTCGCCGCACTCTGCATCTAGGGTCTTTCAATCGAGCTGTAGCAGTATATCCTGTTATAAATCCTGTATATAAATTGGGAGGCCCTTATACTTTTAACCAATACCTATACTGTAACGTTAAAATTTAAAGTCAACACCTATCGCGAACCGCTGCATATAAAAAACCAATACGTTTTTGCCATACGGGACTCGTAGTTTAATTTTCGATTCGTAAATTCGTAATATTCGTAAATGTATAATTACGTATTCTATATTGACAATTTAGGACTTTATTCATATCAAAAATACTTGCAACTAAATGGATAGAATAGAGAATTTGGTGATTAATCCATTCTATCGAAATTTCAAACGTTTGCAATGTCAATATAATATAAAGTTAAATTGAAGGCACGTAGCCGACCTATTTACAACAGAGCATTGGATTGTACGCCGTGCGCTAACTTTGTGCTAGCACTATCTTATAGATTTAGCCGATACTTTGACAATGTACGTACTAACGAGGTGCCTTGCTTACCTAGTCATGTAATGTGGTTATAATGTAAATATATTATATTTATAATGTATTGATGAAGACGCAAAGTTTCGTACAGAATTGGCAAATGGTAAATTAATAAAATATTGACATAAAACCAAATTAAAATTAAGCTTCTCTATTGAATATAAACGCGTAAAACAAAGACTATAAAAATAAATTGCGTTTCATCTGTTTTGCAAGTTCCGTTAATAGAAAGTTTTCTTTTATATTATAATTTATGAAAGGCATTTTCTTGCTTATGTATTTTGGGCTATTGAAAGGAAGGGTTTTTGAAAATATCACCCCTATAGAAGGGGTAAGCCCTCGTGTGAAATAGGGTAAAATATAATAATTTTCATTGCTTTTTACAATAAAATTCACAAAATAGAGTGCGATTTTATATGAATTACAATCTAACCTATACAATAATTATGGTTTAATTTTCCACTATATTAGTGAATAGCTTAAACTAAGGTAATGTTGATTAACAGTCTTTAGTGTTCTATAATGTTTTGACATTATGTTGAATCAATTTTCGTATATTCAAACATATCACTTGTGATTTACTTGTGTTTTGTCTGAATTATTTATCTTGCAGCTTGAGCCAAGCTGCAATCCTTAGTAATTGAGGTTAATTTTCGCACTCAAAAATTAAAAGTAGCATTCGCATTATTTGATTAACGTACCTACTTAGAAATAAAGGTTTCAACAGAAATCAATCAATCAACTTGAAAGCTCATAAGTATATAGAATTTTAATAATATATAATGTATGTAAAACAAAATTGAAAGCAATCAAGATAGCGAAAGTAAATCAAATAATTTACCCATTTCTAAAATGACAAAGTTTGTAACAACCTTAGGAACGCAACTATGGTTCAACTCGGAAGTAAGGACGTGCCTCCAGGGGCGTTGGAAGTTGGTGGCGTGATTGGCCCCATTGTGAACTCAATACTACATTGCTACATCTTCAGACCACTATCACAAGCCTTTCATTCCAGACTGAACTGGGGAATTGTGGGTCTTATGAAATAGGGAATCTTATCATAAACGTTATTGATAACGCTCGTAGTGTTCGTGCAATCTAAAAATACCAACGCTTTCGTACTAAATAAGGAGTACTCTAGTGCGGAGCAATATGCATTAATTCTAATAATCATTAAGATATTAACAAATTAAGACACAAATTTCTTATACGCTACGAGGTAACTAGATGTTTTTACCTAAAAAAACTATGCC